TATGAAAACAGATTTATACGTTTGCACATTTCGCAAAAATCTGTCAACAACTTCTTTGTTCACATTCTATCATATTTACAGCGTATCCTTCCTCTTGGCATTTAATGATGTCAAGTCATACATGACTGCAGTACAGAGGTGTGTCTGTGAGGTTGCTGTCTGCCTGACAAGGCTTGTGGCAGAGAAACGTCTTTCCTTAAAAGTTCGTAGGAAAGGAATGTGGCTGTATAAGGCAAGTTTCATGAACACTGGAGACGTTTTCCTTTCTGTAGTGACTTCAGGCAGAGCATGCTACTCCACATGAACAGGTGTCTCGAATCACATGCGATGGACTTTAGCAAGATAGCTGACTTTAGATAATGGAAACATAAAATTACAGGCAAGACAGATACTGTAAGCAGCAGTGGCAGTGAAGTGTGTAACACTGTGTGCATTTAATATAAACTACTATGCAACATACAATCAATAATTTCCAACACACAACTGAAGTGAAAATGTGTCTGTTTAGGTATGAGTGTAATAATTTCATATGTAATAACTAAGTTCTTATTCTGCATTACCTACTGGTCATGTTTGTATCTGTACATAATAAAAAACTCAATGTCTGAGGCCATTCCCATGTAATTGTCGTGGATTCCTATCTGAAATTAAACCTTCAATGAAATCTTCATTGACACTTTAAGGAAGAGACTGAAAATTATACATTATACTTGTTTCCTTCCAATCCTCTCTATTCATTTGCAGGTTTTGACTTCACACCTCTCTTCACCTCTCTCGACTTCGACCCACCTGAGTGCCCACCCTTCCTCCTCTCCACTCCCAGCTTCTGTTCTCCCAAGCTTAATAAGCTTCTGACTTTCCTCTCTTTCTCACACCCTAAGAAGCTCCACAGCCAAAACCTTGTGTTTCTTTTCTTCTCTATTCAGCATGGAATAAACCTTAACTTGTTCCATAAAAATATTCTTACTGGATAGTTATGTCAGAACAAGTAATGTTTGTATAGCTAAAACATCATCCAAGGCAAATAATGATCCAAATTGGCAGAATGTTTCATGCTTAATCTTTAGTAGCATGTTGCCAGACACCCAGGAAATTGTGAGTGATTGTGAGCTTTTTTTTTACCCTTATAACACCAAGAGAGGTGACAGTAATGTTCATTTTGTGGCAAATTCTAAACAGATATAAAAGAGCACCTAGGAAAAGAGATGGTAAAAATAGCCCCAGACATAGAAAAACCTGCATTATTATTATTATTATTATTATTATTATTATTATTATTATTATTATTATTATTATTATTATACCATGGCAACTTCTAAAAGTAAGTAGGAGTTATAGTAGGTGTGGACTGGACTTTAATCTCATCATAGTTTGGAAAATGGGAAAGCATTTACTGACAATGACAAAACATGGGGCTTTGAAAATTATCCTGCTGTTAAACTCCCACATCTAACAAATTCCTGAAAGACTGATGCATATCCAGGAAAACATTTGGAACAGTCTTTTTTTCTTGGATGAACTGTGCTTCTCTCCCCCCCGTCCCCCAGTGGCACATAACTGTACAGAGATCTCTGAAATTATCCAATTGCAAATTGCATTTGTACACAGAGAAAAATCATGCACTTTTTATTACTGGCTGGCTGGCCAGTTCTAGCCCTTTACTGTAAGCGCGTTTCTTTCCTGGCATCAGTGTTTTCAGTGAGGAATTGCACAGAACAGTGCCTTCTTTTGCCATGTTCCCAGTTTCTGAGCACAAGGCAAGAATCGCTTACATTAGTGAGGGGCTTCACTATGAAGCAAAATCTGTTTCTCTGTAGTTTCCACGTATAACAGATTTCTAAACCCCACAACCTCTTCATGTTCCTAGGTAGTTAAAACCTACATTTGCTAATAAATCAAACTGGAGGTATATTTTAAAATATGATTAGCACTGCAGATGTGTCAACTAGGAAAGATACAGTATAAAAGCAAAAGGACACTGCTTGTTGACAAGCCAGGTACTGTACTGTATGTAAAGCCAGGATCAGAATTAATTTCCATACAAGTACAGCAATGCAAATGTAGAAAAAGTTCAAGTCAAATAACTTTTACTTTCACGCTTTCCAAAAACATTAAAATATTCACCCTAAGCACATGAAACCACACTACACAAATGAAGCAAAAGTGCATTTTAGTATGTGCTAGTTGAAGGCCATATTTACATACAGCTTCAAGCACAATAAGCAAAATATGAAAACAATAGTACTTATTTGAAGGCCATAATCAAATTCCACTTCAATTAATGAATTTAATGACTTAAATCATTGAGTACAGAAAAGTAAAACAATATTCTAAAATTTGACATTGCTAGTATTAGTAGTAATTTGTCATGTGAATTAACTGCACACAGTGATTTAGAGAGAATTCAGTCGGATAAACAACAGAGCCCACAGCATTACAAAGCTGTTAGGTTTGGTATTTGCTTTGTTTAACAGTCTGGATTGCATGAATTAAGAGTGTCTTTTATGATTCACTATACCTATTCTTGAACACTGGGGAATTTAGGGTAGGGTGGGATTTAGGAAATCGATCACAATGTTGATTTATTGATTTAATGTAAGATTTATTGTACATATTGTAATTGATTTAATTATTTAACATATCTATTTTGTTAAATGAATTTCATATTTTGAAAACTATGTGGATAAAAAGTGTTTCATGAGGGGACAGTTATAGTTAATCACTGACAAATCTGACTGAAAATCACTTGATGTTCAGTGAAAAATAAAAATTAACTCAATAAAAATAAATGACAAATTTGGAAATCAAAAAAGCAATGAACATTTGCAACTAAAGAAGATGGCAACCACTGTGAGTGCCACTACCATAATATTTCAACTGTCACTGTGCATTTCGTGCTTGCAACACCAATTTTGAATACTTTTTCATACATGCAAATGTACTTATCTGAAGTTATGTTTTTGAAGTTACATACAGTAGGAAGTATCAGTTAACAAACCTAGAAAACTGCACCTCGAAGCATACCTTTGTGAAGCATTGTTTTGAAACCCTTAAAGCTATGTTACTTCATACATAATTAAACTGAAGACTTGACACTTATTAAGAAGTCCTATCATCCACAGTGGATGAGATTAATAGTTACAATTTATAATCTGTTCCAAATTAAATACCTTTCAAAAACATTTGCTGCTTGATAAACAGGTACATCTTAAACTGCCCATAAAACAGTCTAAAATATTCAGACGTGTAAAATGATAAAAATACAATGTACCAGGTTGTTAGGTACAGTACATTGGAAACATAAATGCTCAAAAGTTAAAAGACATTACTCAGATCCATGTAACAGTGGAATCAGCTTTGTAAATAACTCAGAAATTCCTTTTACCCAGAAAAGGCTGTCCTGTATAGGAGAAAAAGCCTATCCTAACCCACCATTCAAACAGATCATATCAAAAGAGACAACATGGTTATTTTAAAGAACATTGATGTTCTTTGAACATTGAACAAGATGCTGCACATTGGTGGTGGTGGAGAATGAAGATTCATATAAACTTCATATTGTTTGGAAATGGCTTTATAAGCCTTCCCATATTGATGAGCAGCAATGATTCTTTCTCCGAGACTGCCACAGATATCTTTTGATGTGTTACTATAAACATTGATGCCTCAGACCAAACTGACTGTTTCTGAGTCCCCATTACCTGTAAAGCGCTTTGAGTGGAGTGTCCAGAAAAGCGCTATATAAGTGTAAGCAATTATTATTATTATTATTATTATTATTATTATTATTATTATTATTATAACACAACCCGGAAATGTACCAGAATACAAAAGTACTGAAACTTGAAATAAACAATAGAGCAGAAGGGCATTAAAATGTTTTGGGAAAATACTTGCATGATTAAGAGAGCATTAAGAACATTCTAGATTTCACATAGCAACAAGAGCATAAAAAGCCTCAGGCAAGTCCAGTCAAGAAACGTGGGAAAAAGTTGGATCTGTCCTAAATAGTCACGTCCAAGAGACACAACAGACAGTGGAATTTCTGAAACAGTTGCAGGCTGAGAAGAAGTTGAGACTTGCCAGACTCTAGTACTGAAAGACAGAGGTAAACTTTGTGATGCCCCTGTCGGTGCCCATGAAGTTGGTACAAACACTGGCTGTCTGATTTACTGCCTTCTGGCACCATTATAGTTTACCATGAGGTATTACTGGGATTTATACCACATTAATACAATAGATACAACACAAAGCATTTGGAAAGAACAAAAGTTAAACATTACAGACTAGTTCTCTGGTTTGAAATAAGAAGAAAGTAACTTACATTGATAGAATGTGTGCCTGCTTTTCTGAAGCTAAAACACACTCGCAGATGTAACGTGAAAAGAGAGATCTGAAACTGCAGTCTCTAGGAATTCCTAGATGTTATGTTATTCCTAAATGTTATTCAGATAATTGCTTTAATGAATTCCATCTATGGAAATAGGAACAGTGCTACTGACATTGCATTGCTAATTTTTGTAAATAATGCAGTGGAATTGCACAAATATTGTGGGGTAGTTACATGAACAGAGATGTATGTTCTTTGAAATGGAAACAAAGGATACTGCAACAAATCTCTATATTCTATTGCCAAAATTAGTGCTGCTGTTAACTGGATGACTTTATTATGTCAAGAAGAAGAGAAGAGATTATGTTACTATACATCTTTTTTGTTTATGCTTCTTAAACACTTCAACCACAGTTGTTAACCATTTAACTCACACACATAAGATTCTCCACAATATTCCAGGATGGAAATAAAAATCCTTATGAGGTTTTTAAAAGCTGTAAATTTTGGAATCAAATATCTTTTTGGAATTTTTAAAGATTTCTGTCTGGTAGATCTTTACTATAAGTAGTATCCTAGGTTAGAAGCTAGGTCATACAGACCTAGTTAGACCTACAGTAACTAGGTGATAAAAAAAAAATTAAACACGTTTGATTTGTCATTTTCTGACCTGTTCATTGATGATGTCAGAGAGTTCTTTGACCAAGTCTTTGAAGTTGGATTTCAGTCCTTCATGGTACTCAAACTGGTCCTCCTTAATCAAGCGCTCATTGAAGTCCAGAGCAATGCTGCAAGCCTGTACAAATTTCCTATACAAACAACAAGCAAAGTTAAAACTAGAATATAATAAATGTTCATATACACACAACTCATTTATAATATATCTTCCAGATTTTCAATTTTTTCAATACATTCTGTTTAACATACACTACATAAAGCAAAATATACACATGTATAAAACATGTGCACAGCTGCAGCACATCACGACATGGATACTGACAGATGGAAATTCTAGTTCCATTCCTAAATATTCTCAAGTGTCCCAACTGATCCAACACATGTGGATCATTGTGTCAGCTCTGCACAAAGTGGGTTCAGTAGACAGCCTGAAGCATTCTTGAGACCTGAATTATGCTTCATTCTGTTTACCTGTCAATCATGGTCTGTAAATGCTTGTGGCTGTCTGAATTAACACATTAGACAGGTCTAATTTTGCCTTAAGGGATACACCAAAGGTAGTGCACCATAGTGCTGACTGTTTCATAAAGGACAAAAATGAAGCAGTAAGTAAAATCATACCGGAATATTTCTTTCAGCTCCTTTACTTTCTTGCCTCCATACTTGCTGGATTTATCAGCATCAAGAAATGCTCTTGCATAAGCCATGGGTCCTGCATTTACCTGTAATTAAAAAAAAATAAAAATAAAAAATGAAATATTACAAACAAATATAACATGATGAAAAAACTTTTTTTCTTAAGGGCTGATGTCTAGATTTTACTTTAAGAACTTTGGCAGTATGAACTGTTTCACTACAAATGAGAAGCCAGTAGCAACTGATTAAGAATTCCTATCAAACCAGTTCAACTACTGCTTGCTAGTGTGTCAGTTATGTAAAAGTTGAAGAACAATATAATTACAGTACATGTTGAAGTTACTGAAGTTACCATGCTGGGATCTTCTAACATGAGAGGGACAGTTCACAACTGTGCACAACCAAAAGTGATATATTTAAAATGCCAGACTAGAATCTCTATAGGACTCAATCGTTTCTGATAAACCATGTCATCCATTTGGATTCTTACTAAAGCCAATCTGCACACATGTTTTCCATGTACAGCATGCCTTGTTTAATCAACTTTTCAAATTTCTAAACTTTTCATCCCAAAGGATCCCAAATGCATTTGCTGTCATAGGTGACACACGTGTGACACTTAATTGGACACCGGGGTTAAAAAGAACACCTGTATGCCATCAGATAACTAAGTGGTTCTGAAAGCATAATTTGAGACATCCATGCAGCCTGAATTCATCAGATCTTAGAAGCTAAACAAGGCTGGATCAGGTTGCTCTTTTAAGTGCTGCTGGTGGACCAGTAGGTGGCACTCTGTCCTCTGTACCAGAATTTCTAAACCAGCAGGATGAACAGAGAACACTGTGTTGTAGGAGGCGTCAACCTTAGGACATGACCTTGAGACATGAAACTAGGGTCCTAGTTTCTTGGGTATGAAAGATTCCACTGCACTGTTTGTAGTGTGGTCAATCCCAATGTCTTGGCTGAATTCCACTTTAGGCTTAATCTGGCCATCCCAAAGAGCTCCCCCTAAATCCAATGGATGAAGAAGTTTCTTTCTTTTCCACCTGATCTCCTTGCAGTGGGGATGCTGTATGTTACCCAGCTGGATCTGCACTTCAGTGGTGGATGAGTGGAGCCCCCTTATGGAAAATACTTTTGGATCTTTTAGGGTGAAAAGCGCGATATAAATGCAAAGAGTCAGTATAGAGGGCCTGCTTTCAACCCTTCCTGTCCATTCAGAATTCCAGGAAACCCTTGGAAAATTAGTCGACAGGAAGAACTGGTTAAAAGGCCTTCTGTGTTAGACAGTAAAAAGCACATAGTACAAAAAGACTATTTCCCTTCCAGCTGACACAATGACAAAACCTCACAGCTCACAGATGGAAGTTTAGTCATTGGCCTTTGGCAAAACGTCACTCCCCAGAACAAATTGACTACACATTGAATGCAGTTTGAAGCAACTTTCATCCTAAAATAATAAATGTTTATTGTATTGATTGAAACTTTCTTTTGCCACATTATCCCAAGCCCTGCTGGACATCTGTCCAAGAATTATGCTACACTGGGAAGCTCACATTTTTTATCAAAGCAATTCCACAATGTAGGCAACTCAGAACACACTAATATATGAAAAGCAAATATGAATTAAAAAAATAAGGAAATCTACTTCTTGCTAGACTTTCATCATATACAGTCAGGAAAAGTTCTATTTTGTTCTGAAGAAATTTTGTCTGATGAGCTCGACTGCCCAAATAAATATAGTATTATATAATATATTAATATTATATTAATATATAAATATCGACAATCGAGAATATTTAAATACTGCTATTGCAGCTATGCAGCTATGCATTCTGCTATTTAAAACAAAACTTTATATTAAAGATAAACAGAGTGACGTGATGTGAAAAAGAAAGTAAACCCCCCTACGATTCTATGGTTTTACATATTAAGACGTACAGTATCTGACCTTCATCTAATCCTCTCGAGTAGTCGAGTAGATAAATCTAACCTCATGTGACAGATAACACACACATAAATTTCAGTCTGTCATTAGTCATTAAACAAAAAACAATCTGCCAACATTCAGTGTGTGAAAAATTAACTTCACCCCGTGATTCAGTAATGTATGGAACCCCCTTTAGCAGCAATAACATGAAGTAAACATTTCCTGTGAGAGTTTATCGGTCTCTTATGTCACCTGTGTTTCAGTTCACTGTTCTGTTGCATGATCCAGTTTTGACAAAGCTTTAGCTGTTGGACAGATGGTCTCACATTTTCCTCTTCAATGCACTGGTAGAGAGAGGTACTGTATTCATGGTGGACTCAATGATTGTAAAGCATCCAGGTCCTGTGACTGCAAAGCAGGCCCAAATCACCACCCCTCCACCACCGTGCTTGACAATTTGTTTTTCAGTATGTTTGTTTCCGCCAAACATACTGTATCATTTTGCATTACGGCCAGACAAAGCCACTGTGATCTCATCTTTCCAGAAGACATTGTTCTGGAAGTCTTGTGGTTTATTCAGGTGCTGTTTTGCAAACCTAAGCCATGCAGGAATGTCCTTTCTGGAGAGAAGGGTTTTTCTTTTCCTGGCTACCCTTCCACAAAAGCCTTTCTTGTTCAGTCTTTTCCTAATGGCAGGATTGTGAACTCTAATGGTTACCATATTGACAGAGGCCTGTAGATCCCTGGAAGTAACTCTAGCATTCTTTGCAATCTCTAGGAGCATCATACAGTCTGACCTTTGGGTAAATATGTTGGGACACCCACTCCAAGGTAGATTGGCTATCTTGAACTTTCTCCATTTGTAAATTATCTTTCTCTTCAGATTCACATAGACTTCATATTGTTTGGAAATGGCTTTATAAGCCTTCCCATACTGATGAGCAGCAATGATTCTTTCTCTGAGACTGCCACAGATATCTTTTGTTGTGTTACTACAAACATGGATGCTCCAGACCAAACTGACTGTTTCTGATGTTATATACAGGTGGAAGCACCTCCTGATGATAAACTAATTATGCGCATTTGTTAAGCAGTACCCGATTCTGATTAGCTTCTTAACTGAGATGCAAGCAGCAAAGGTGCACTTACTTTTTCACACCTCCTGAATGGTGGCTGATTTTTTTGTTTAATACATAAAGAAAGTAAAAGCTGTGTGTTATGTGTCACATGAGGTTAAATTTATCTACTGTTAGGACTTAGTGAGGACTAGGTGAGGGTCAGATATGTTTTAATATGTAAAAACATAGAAGATGCCATGCTTTCTTTTTCACTTCACTGTGTATATATATAAAGCTTAATAAGTATTTTACCGTCACTAATAACTATAGACACAACTGTCTCTGTTATCAGTAGAACTTTGATTTTGGCCATAATTCTGCCTTAAAAATTAAACATGCCCAGAACTTTGAGATGTGGGGCTGTTATTGTTTACAGAATAAATACGTTAGATAGAGCACAGGAAGAGGACAATAACAGCAAGGGCATAAGTTGTATAAGAAATACAGTACAGACCAGTCCCCACAAAATGCACACTGATCAAGTCAATGCAAAGGTCAACATCCCTGACTGGCAGGCTTTCTTGGTAAAATTCACTTGAGTTCACTGTTTAGTGTAGGAGGTTTATTCTTTATCTTGGGAGTAATCAGTGAAATGTGTTATTTAAGGCCATGACAAGGCAATAATGTGTATGGAGTTTTCCTGTGACTAAATCAAATCTTAATCACAGGACATAAGATCGACTGGGCTTACAGTGAAACTGAAAAATATGGTAAACAATTTAGAAACATCTTTTAATGTCAGCCTCAGTAGTCCCAGAGGTGCACAAATGTATTATGCTGATTTGTCAGTGTATTACAGAGTTTGCTGACAGTCCCCAGGGAATTAAAAGAAGATCTAACCCTCCGAACTACAGAACTGCTTTTAGCACAGATGTTTATTTGCATATGTGCTGACCAGGCTGTCATGGGTGTGCACTAATTGGGCACTTGTATGATATAGTAGTACTGGTGCAACCAACACATATCAGTCAATTGTTATGGTTGTTTAGAAGTGGAGTGTGCAACAGACTTATAGAAAAGTAAGTCATTTACAACAGTTTCCTCCTGCTGGGTTCTCAATTACATTCAAATGCCCCACATCCCACACCCGGCGTTTTGCTGTACTGGATCAACACTTGTCAGACATGCACTGCCAGACACGGCAGAGTCAAGCTGGACACCTCACACATACATTACCTGCACTGAGACACAGCCCTGCAGCTTCAGCTGCAGCTGAATCATGTCCACCTCTGAAGTAGAGCACAGCTTCTGCAGCTCAGCTGTTCTGTCCTGCATCTCGTCAATGGCCACCTCGATGGGTTTCAAGTCCATCTGATGCTCATACATGACAGCAATCCTCTTTTTCACATATGGGAATGTATTTGTGGCTGGGGAAGGGAGAAAACACCTTTCTTAAAACCTTCAATAAGAAAAACATATTTATTGAAGTGAAAATGATTTATGTGGCACTGTTAAAAATTGCGCAACTTTCAGAAGTTTTCTAGCCCAGAGCAAAAGGAGTTTATTTTACAGTGAATGTTTCTAGTTGAAAACCCAACAGAAGGCAAGCAGAAAAAATAGTTTTTCAAAAAATAATACTACAACACACAATGAAAATATTAGGTAGTGCAATACTTCATATTCAAAAGTACAGTCTATTTGGGGTTTGATAATGACTTGAAGAAAATGTACAAATTGAAAATAATGTAATCAAATTGGAAACACAATAGAAAACAGCTTTGAGAAAATTCTTCCTGTATTGTTCTGTGCATGCCCCATATGGGTACCAGGAATTTCTGTTTCTCATTTAGCTGTCATCCTTTTTAAAAAAAATTAAAAACAAAACAAAGAAAACAACATTCCCTTGTCTTATAGCCCAATGCTTCTTAACCTCACTATTCTGAACAGAATAGACAATGCAACTTTTCAGAACTGTATCTTCTGTGGATAAGATTAAATGATTAATATTGTAATATACTGTAAGGCCAGGCCACAGTTTCACTTTGAGCAAACACCACAGACTAAAGGACTTCTTCATTTTGGGTGTTTATGAATCCTCCAGCAGTTGTATGGGTTGTTACATGCCTTGCATTAACTTTTCCAAAATGTTCTTTCTATTCAGTGAAACCAAGCCTTTTTCCCAGCATATACCAATACACTCCAGAACAATACACTTTTTAATTTTGTTCCAAACAGCAACATTCATTTAAAAAAACAGCAGTCAGCCGTCAGACATTTGTCAACTTTACCCTTCTACGCTTGCAGACAATGCCTGAAGATAATTTTGCAGCAACAATCTTAAAGGGGCAGTGGCATTTCCACAGCACAGCCTGATATGGTCAGAGCTCAGAAGGGAATGAACGATGGGCCTGTTCAGTACTGGGATTGGTGATCCCTAATATCCAGGGAAAACCAGGTTGCTGCTGTAAATTGTGTTGGTGAACTAGAATATGGCACTCTTCCCTCTGGACCAAAATTTTAAATCCAATCGAATGCCTCCATATTGTACTGTGCTGTGGAAAAAATATTAAACCAAGGCCCTGACTTTTGAGGCATTAAACATCCCCTGGCAGTATTGTTAAGTATACTGTAGGTCTTGCTTAGCTTCAGAGACCAATCGAGATTACAGTACATTTGAAGGAGCTGTCATTAATTTGTTTATGTCCTGAATTAAATAGACACTCCAATCCATTTGAAAATCAGTAATTCCAAACCTAATGTATGATTGCAGCATTGCATTGTAAATTGAAAATGTAAACTGAAAGCACTGAAAGGCAGCAAAGCAGATATTTTACAGCCAGCTGCTGAGTCAAAACTATGATTTAATCCAGTCCTCCCTCTTTTTATTATTTTTCGTGAAATAACCTAACGCACCATGAAAAGAACTAAGCCAAAGGAATATTCTAGCTAGAAGCCCCTAGCCGCAGTCTGAGAGATAAACAGCAAACACTTTCCAGGCTAAACTACACATGTCTGATCTGTAACAGGAACAGTAACACTATTGAGTAAGATTAATGCGTAGAATAGTGGTTTAAACCATTAAAGTAAAAGGCTACACGCACAATTCAACAGAAAAATTTCCAGTTTAAATGTAACTGATACCGTCATTATCTAGTCTCTCCAAATCTTTCTAGACTCTAAACTGATAGTTGCCTTATAGTTTCACCTCTAACCATGATCTTGTCGATCTATCCTTCAGCCTCCTCACAAGGGAGTTTCAGAACTCCTATTGCTGAAAGACATCTGAAACCAAAATTATCCTGAAACTGGGATCAAATCTTTTCCCTTCTCAACTCAATCCCTTCTAAATCCCCCACTTTTCCTCCTGTTCTGAGTTTCGACACTCATTCTCACCTGCTTCATGCACCTTCTTAACTACTCTGTCTTCTGTTCTTCCATGTTTTATTTATTCCCTGTTTCCCTCACACCTGAAGTAGGTGTCACAGCTGAAAAGCTGTATCTCTTTTCTTTTCACCATGGAATAATACCTGTTTCTTTGCAGCCTACACACGCTGACAGCAACAGTACTCAGCAGTTCACTGTAGTGCTCACAACAAAAGAACTGGTGAAGAATATGAGGACTAGGTCTGTATATTGTGTTATCTGCACCATATACAGACCTAGTGTAAGAATGTTTGAAGCAGTATAGATACAGCTCAATTAATAAATGATGGACTCTTACATATACATTTTATTGCTTTTGTAATCCTATTAACTAAATAAAACCAAAAGCAATAAACTTGGATGCATGTAAAGTCTGGCAGGTTACTTGGAAAAAAGAAAACAAGGTGGCTGTCATCAAATCATATGAGGAAAAACATATTCTAAATGAGATCTTCAAGAGAATTTATTGTATTATTTTTGCATTTACTTTGGCATATACTGTATACTGTGCATTGCAAAAATATTTACCCTCCCCTGCAAACATTCCATATTTTGTCACTGTCTAAACTTGCAATAATTTTATAACTGTTGTATTCAATAAAGGGTTGTGGGGGAGCTGAAGCCTATTCCAGCAAGCAACAGACACGGGCTGGGATACATCCTGGACAGGACTATTAGTACTAACTACCTGACAGGAATTGCATATTTCTCAGGGTAACACACAGACAGTCAGGTGCTATGTTTGGGATATGAACTGTGTAGTAGGAACCTCTGACATCTTGCCTATTAGACGGCTGATTCTAGTGTTACTAGACGACAACAGAACTAAATGTCTTCTAAAACCGGTCAAACTTGCTTTGCTGAGCCACTAAAGATAAAGAAGCAGATGTAAAAAACAGAGGTAAAAGGTTTTCCCTTGTAATGGTGTTAAGCACTGTGCCAAAAACCACATCCCAAAAGCTAGTTTACTCACTATACTGCAAAGACAGCAGACATGTAGCTGCAGGAAGAACTTACTTGTCAGGATGGTTCTCCTCTTGCACTGCTCTTCAACACCCCCATGCTTCTTCCCCGACAGGGTATACGGAGTCTCAAACACAAACCGGTTAATGTTGTGGTTTTTTTCAAAGCCTGTTTTTTTCTCTGACAGCTCCTTCTCATCAAAGTAAGGCTTGACAAAGGTTACTTGGATGTATGCATACTTTGGGTCTAACTGTTTAGGGTTCACCTGTCAAAAACAACAAAACATCCTTGAATTCACCAGTTGTGACAGTTACATTATAGATGCTACAGTACATCAGGACTGCTTCTGACTAGGAAGACCTGACCAGAAGTTAAACATTTCAAGGTGGTGTAATAAATGTACTTACAGACAACAGGTTTGTTGTAGGGGAACAGAATGCATGGCTCATTCCTGTAGGGACTACAGTTGTTCCACATACATACTGTATGTGGGATAGTTTCCAGAAACTATTTTTCTTTAATGACTGCAAATTCTTTTAAGTCACACCATTAAGAAATGGTGTGTCATTTCTTGAAGCTTTTTAAAGGAAAGTTAAAAACTTTTCAAACTGCCCAAGGATGATAACCTTTGATCTGGTTTAATGCAACGTTATAAAATCCTAATACAAGGACAAATACAGTATGATACAGTAACTGCCACCAGCAGGACCTCGGGTGAACATGTTTGTAATTACACATATGTGATGCCATGCACTATGCTGTTAATCAGCTAAGTCATATTAGAAAAAATATTCTCAACTAAATAGTGCACTCTCTTGATACTGACATGCACATACAGTACGTGTTTCCTTATGTTCCTATTCTTTCCTAATAATAGAATTTCAAAGCATTGCTTTGAAGCAAGAAACAAGATCAATGTGAAACACCTATATGACAATCTTAACTTGCTTTTAGCTAAAAAAGCTCAAGAAACACACCAGGACTTCAATTTGCAATTTAAAATCATCTCTATTTTTGCAGTCCAAAGAGCTGTATTTGTCTGGCAAAGGGAGAGAATGACAGGAATGAAACGCAAGCCTGTATGTATAGATCTGCCAAGACACTGGATCAATTAACATGAGGCAGTGTGTGTGATGAAGTCCAGAAGACCCCAACTAAGACACCAAAAGATGGCTTCATCATAGCCAAAATAACACCTAGACACTTAAATGTGCAGTACAGATGGTATAGATGCATTAATAGCAAAATGACATTTGAAGAGCGCTGGCTGGTACTGTATGTTCAAATGCTTGCAACTGTACTGCCAAAGAAGGCTTCCTGACAAAGTGGAAGTTGGGTTACATGCTCTGAAAACCAGCCTGAACAAAGCCGTACCTCCATTGACATAATGAGATCAAGTGTCAGCAACTTGACCAACAACAGATATGCTTATCAGTAGAACGGGTTCTGCGTCTGTGGAAGGGGATACACATGCCAAATTATTTTATTTTTTTAGGCTGTTAATTGCCATTATAGTTTATTATTATAGGAAGTGACAGGTTATGTTCTTGTATTCATTTCCAATAGTTATGGTAATTTGGAAGAATAATTGTTACGTCATTTACCAAACCGCTTAATACCATACGGTGTCGCGGGAAGCCGGAGCCTACCCAGCAAGCAACGAGCGCAAGGCAGGGTACACCCTGGATGGGGCGCCAGTCCATGGCAAGTGCAAGCCAGTCATACATGGGGACAATCTGGAGGCCACGGTAAATTTGGCCCAGACACCGGCATAACTCCCTACTCTTATTGAGAAATGCCCGGAGATCTTTAATGACCACTGAGAGTCAGGACCTCGGTTTAATGTCTCTTCCGAAAGACGGTACCCACTACAGTATAGTGTCCCCGCCACTATACCGGGGCATTAAGACACACAGAGACCGCAGGGTGGGTGCCCCCCACTGGTCCCAGTGACACCATTTCCTGCAGCAACCATAGCTTCCCAGGAGGTCTCCCATCCAGGTACTGACCAAGCTTAACCCTGCTTAGCTTCAGAGGGTAGCCAGTTGAGAGCAGCAGGGTGATACTTTGTTGTGCAACAGTGGGTGTTGTACAGTCATGGAACAGCTCCCCAAGAATACATTCTCTGGCCTGAAAATCTTTACAAATGGCAGATGGTGTTTCATGATAATCTTCTGACAGCATTTGTCTATAATCTCAAGTGCAAAGACTTATTTTTTTTAAATTTCATTGAGGTACTAAATATTGGTTGAAGTACATATCACTTAGTTTTTGTTGTTAATGAGATCTGAATGCTCATATCTAATATTCTAAATCATTTATCAAATAATGACAATATTTTGTTATTACAAGTGATGAGTGTGTATGATTAATTTAATTCCGGAATATGGTATCTTGTATTAACCGTAAGGTCAAACTTCGGCAAGAAATGTTTTCCTTTACACAGGATATCATATGTAAGTTTGTAATTTTCTCAATTTCCTGTGAGCTATTTTTAATTTGTAATACAAAATATGATTGGTTTTAAACACTGCAGTATCATCATAGCAGCATAAGCATTTCAGCACTTCTTCCTGTAACCTACATCATCATCAAAGGGTCAGCATTGTCCCCAAGCAAAATATTTTTTTTATTAAAAAAGATTGACCAATTTGACACAGAAATGTCAGGGCTTGGGAGCATGTCTCAGAACTTTGTCTTTCAGCCAAAAAATGCCTCACTTATGTAGTGCTTTTCTGGACACTCCACTCAAAGCACAACAAGTAATGGGGGATTTCTTTCCACCACCACCAATATACAGCATCCACTCCTATGATGTGATGGCAGCCAAACGTGCACAAGTCACCACACATCAGTTATCAGAGGGGGGTAGAACAGAATAATGAAGCCAATTCATAGATGGGGATAATTAGAAGGCCAAGATTGGTAAAGGCCAAGGGAATATTCGCCCAGAACACCAGGGAGACACCCCTACTGTTTTTGAGAAACAGCCTGGGAATTTAAATGACTATGGACACTCAGGACCTCGGTTTTACAGCTTATCCACAGGACAGCTCCTTCTTTACAGTATAGTGTCCCCATCACCAGCAGTAGAATTCATAGCCTCCTGCTGGCCCCACTGACACCTCTTCCAGCAGCAACTTTAACTTTCCCAGGAGGTTTCCCATCCAGGTACTGACCAGGCTCACACCTGCATAGCTTTAGTGGGTTATCAACAGAGATATTCCATGTTATTAGCTTTTGGCTCATTTAATTTCTTCTTTGAAGAATTGGTGAAAAAAAGAGCCAAAAGTCTACTAGTTTTTATATACTGAATAGCTCTATTCTGACTTTTAGAGGTGGTATTGCACAAACTCTGTGTCCATTGCTCAGTCATGTACAGGAAATAAATAATGCGTAGAAACACTATAGTCCATGATTCCAAAAGTCTGATAAGATATATTATTTGCTACTGTACATCCATCCATTTTCTAACCACTTCATTCAATTCAGGGTCAAAGGGAGCTGGAAACTACAGTATATCAGAAACCAACAGACCTCAGAGGGGCTCACCCTGATTGCGATGGTCAGACAGACACATGCACACTAACACCAGCGCCAGTCTTTCCAGAAGCTGACTAACCTACCAGTACGTTAATAGACTGTGTGAGGAAACCAGAGCACCCAGAGGAAAACCACGAGAACACAGGGGGAATAGACAAGCTCTCCGCAGACAAAACCCAGGGCCTCAGCACTGTAAGGCATGAAATGCAAACCACAATGCCACCCTCTGCTTGATACAGTGTATTCTAAATAATTGATGAATATATTTAAGTAACAATGTTAATTATTCAAGTGTTATGAAGATCTCTCAGACAATGTGGCCTACAGGGAACACCATTTATTTTTTAACTCAACCAAGGTCCAGGGTAAAATGAAAGGTTTACCTTATTGGAGTCTTGTATAATCTTCACATTTTCACTACCAAACTTGTCACCATAAAGAGTCAGGAGTCTCTGCGAGATCTCGGAGAGCCCTGTCAACTTGGGCTCTTTGTAGATGTACCCCTTACCATCCTCCTCTTCAAAGAAACACTGAAAGTGAGAATGAGACTCTACACAGTTATCACCATCAGATGCAGCATGTCCAAAGTACACTATCGCATAATTCGTTCAGGCTTGCTCACATTCAGATTGCAGCATTTAACACAGCTCAATTTGTTTGTTTTTCCTAAATTTCTTCTCTTTAATGTGTTAACCCTCCTACACACCTGAGGCAATTCACAGCTTGTTTGATACTTGATATTAGGCTCTCATCCAGTCGTTTCTTGATGCACGTGCACCAGCCTGGCTTACTTTTGTATTTCAGCCAACAACAGCCTTTGTGTAAAGACATCTTTTCTATTTTTAGACTGAATATCAATCCACTTCATATCCATTTATGTTAACTAGTGTTCTATATTTATACCCAAGTGAATTACTGGAGTCCTTTGTTCAAGACAAGAGAGATTAAGTTCCTTTAACATGTGTCTATCACATCCTTCAAGGCAAGACAATAACATGGCTTTCTGTTATTAACATGGCTGTTATTACATGGCTGTCACGATTATAGTTCCTCCTCCTTAAGGGTGCTCCAGCCCTTTCACTTTAGACTTAATTCTGTGCACCTGACCCCTTTTCCCAGCCCACCTTAAAAGCCAGGCCCTGACGTTCAGCCTGGCTCTGCATCTGGTTTCCGCACCGTGCAAGTCCGGGACCTGGAAGCGCCTGGTCCCGTTAAGGTTTTAACCTCTGTTCCTGTTCCTGTTCCTTGTCCGCCGGTTCCGACCCGGTTCGTGTTTTTAATTCCTTGTTTGGATGGATCACCTGGCTATGGACTTTCTTGAGTTTTTGGATTCCCTCTATGGATTACTTTTGGATTGTTTGCCTCGGCCACACCTCCCCCGTGCACCAGCGCACTTTGGACATGCCCCCCCTGTTTTCAGCCCCGTATCCCTGCATGACTTTTTCCTAGTGTTTCCCCACTTCTTTGGATTGTGTCGTCCGCATAGGGTCCGGAAAGAACTGTACGTTACAATGGCAAGCTGATGAGCTGGTTACTCATCAGCTTGACATTTCCTTGATAAGGGACTCTGCTTTTTCCTGCAGCTATATATGCTCTGTTACATATCAGAACCCTTAAATCTAGTATTAGCTCAAACTTCAAATTTGATTATAAATATTTATCTAAGGATGTCATTAGTTTAAGGATTCAATTAAATCCCAGAACTAATAATAGTAAATATACTGAGAGATTTGGGTCACATAGAGGAAGTTTATGAAATCTCTTTCAAGATTTTCCCTCTTGATATACTCCATATAGGACTTTCTGCACATGTGTGATAATGCACCTATGCTAAGCTCTAATGATAAACTAGGGGAAAAAAACAAACAAAAACAAACCTGTCCATAGAAAGCAACTCTGAAAAATGTTCCCAGCAGTCTTCTTCCTGAGTGCATCACCTCTATAACTTTGGTATAGGCACGATGCAGTGTGTTGTACAGGTGACTGAGTTTCTGCAGATCACATAAAAACACACAACAGAAAAAAAAACACTATTAAAAACATTATTTATTTTTCTCTAAAGCAGAGAAGACAATCAATTTTAAACAACATTGTACATGATACCACAGTGGCAGTACCAGTATCAGAGGAAGACTGCTCCCAATCCTCTTCGTATCTGTACCTGGTACCTACCTACAGGTGATTTGGGTGAAATTCAGATGGGAACATGTGAATGTGCAGTTGGATCCCCATCTGCTCCTTCTTAATTCTAACTTTCAGGATGCTTAAAAGATCCTGTGCACAAAGATCTAACTGCAGTTGAAAATCTATTTTGACTGGTTAACTACAGTACCATTGACACACACATGGTTGAATTCATTGACAACCACAGACATAGTTCCTATGGAAAAGACGACGTCGAGGTTACATTTCATTTGTGCATAAACTGTGACAGTCTGGACAGACAGTTTCTCTTATCTTCAAAATCTAAGTAGCAGCTTTTCTTTCGTTCATGTGTCAGGTTCCAGTTTTTGTCTCAGTCAGGACCCTGGCAACGGAGAGGAGACAGATTCTATTTTCTGCACATTTAGAATCTTTAACTTTTGGTGTGTGTGTGTGGGAGGGATATAGCCCACACATGGAAAATTGGCAAGCGCAGATCACCCACCCTTTATACAAGATTTAAACTTCACAGCTTACTGGGGGCTGTTCTGTATGGGAAGAACAACAATGCTAAAGTAGAGGAAAGGCCCTCACTGATGTCATAGAAAGCCAGGAAAATTAGGGAATGACAGTAAAAAAATATATTTTAATGCATGACATTACAGGTTCCATTTTTAATAACAGTCAGTAAGAGCAGTTGTTAACTTCTAAAACAGGTTGCAATGTTTGTCTTCACTGCCACTGAAAAGGACACCAAAACAGAGACTGACAACTTGAAAAAACAGGAAAACAGGTAAAGGTTTATTCCACGCTGAAAGAAAAGAAACAACATTTCAACTGTGCAATTTTCTTCAGGTGTTCTTTCCTTTCAGCACGGAATAAGCCTTTACCTGTTCCTTTGCAGACTATGCATGCTGACACAATTCCTTCAAAAGTCCATGACCATTTCTTTAGTCTTGCTGGTGTTTAGCTGGAGATGGTTAAGATGACACCACTATTGTAATGCATCTGAATATACCTGTATCTCTTTTTAAAAATGTTCTTTTTATGAAAATATGATACTCCAAAATCAGGTGAATTGGTAGCCACCTTTCGAATAACAAAATCCAAACTCGAAACTACGAAGGAGCAATACGAAGAAAAATTTTGAATTTCTTTGGCCACGCACACGCAAGGCGGGCTGGGAACAGCACCTGGGGGTGGGACTACGGGACTGTATATAGTGGGATGGAGGCTGGGAGACAGTCTCTTCCCTTCGTGTGTGTGTGTGTTAGTGAAGGTGCAGTGCTGTAACCCCTGTCCCTGTGTGTGTACCTTTCCCCTGTTCAAGTTAATAAATGTGCTGTTCAACCCCATTCCCTGAGTCCCATGCCTGCTCCATTCCGTACCAAAACCCGTTACAATATTATAAAACCCTGAAAGCAATTTAAAGCAAGGCAGATAAGTGTGAATGGAAACGGAACTCATGATGAATGCAAACATACCACGTGATTGTGTCTAAAGGGACTGGCATGCTTTTACAAAAAAAAAGCACCAGACACAATGTGTTTTGCCAGGGTCATCCACAAAATAACACAGAATCTCCTAATATGAAACGTCCTAGTTCTTAGCTGAATGGCTCCTTCTCAGTTTACTGACCGTGGAGATCAGCACAGTATTGATAACAAGTGTCAGCACAGCTTATGCAAACAAGAGTCCAAAGAATAAAATTCACTGAGCTAAACTAATATTTAGTATCTCCCTCATTAAAATTACAATTACTATATACACACATTAGTAAATGACCTGCTTTATCTTTTAATTCGGTCATGGATATAAAAAGCTTTCTGACTCAACGCAGTCTTGAGTGAAATGAGGGTTAGCAGTGGGAACTTAAGAAAATGATCTTTTTAACAACAGCAGTGCGTGTATGTTAATGTCCAATGCCACATTTTACAATTCCTTGGCCTCAGAATCAACCCACTGACAGCTAGTGTAACACACACCTATTGAAGGGAGTGTAATGTAGCTTCCACCAAAACATCAGAAGAATCTAAAGCTTGAGACTGGAGTAGGTTGATTCGTGGTGACAGTAAAATCACAGCGTTGTCAGCAGAGACTGGTGAGGACCAGATTCATATACTACCACAACTTGGTGCAAGGTTTAGCTTGTACTTTACCGGATATGTAAATAAGTGAACAAACTGGTATGAGTCATTCTGCAAGCAGCCCAGACTTTTTCCTTAAAGGCAACGCATGGAAAAACTGAAAATACTAACATTCACATATGAGCTTGGTTTTACAGAACGTCATTTAGAAGAGATTATATTTCATGTTGCAGGACGGATTATATTTATAATAAATTTAGGAGGATTTTTAGAATTTTATTTGACATCATAAAGGATATTTTAGTTAATCAAAGGCACAAAATCACAATTAAATACATTATGATCCCATATTGCAACAATAAAATGTGAATACCTTTGATAGTCACTGTACTTATAGTGAAATTAAGCCTGCCACAGCCCTACTGAATTAGAAATAGAGTGGTGAAATTCAGTTCAATCTTGTCTAAATATAAGTATTTACTAATAATGTAGAATTTGGGGGCATTTTCAGCAGAAAAAATGCACTAAAATACAATGTAAAATACAGTGTAACAAGCATTATTAATCTACATATTTCTGGCTCACTATTTTTCTAATTGTGTTATTTTAATGCAATTGTGCAATATTAATTGACATTACTAAAAAATGAAAACAAGGGCAGAGAGAAGAAAAAAGACTTTCACCTGTACAGGCCAGCTCAATCGATCCTTATTCGATCATGCAGATGTAAGCATAGAAATCTCTACCTATCTAACACACAGTGAGCATACCCACTCTGCACCAGCTTTACTCTTTTTTTAGACTTCTTCTGTCCTTACAGTAAAGACAATCCTCTTTTTAGGCTTCTCTGAATAAACAATAACATGTGTGCAAGCAAATTATTCACTAAAACATTCATGCACTAAAATCAGCAAGGAAACACAGAACCTGATCCATGTTAGAAGTTGAGCTTACAGTACGTTTAATAATGTAACAGTTACTATGGAATACAATTAAAAACTAGTCTGGCTTAACAGTATTGCAGTAAGTGTGTAACGTTATTAAAATATACTCGGATTTAACATTATAGGAGTAGTTGTGTAACGTTATTAAAATATACTCGGATTTAACATTATAGGAGTTGTTGTGGAATATTATTTAAACAGAGTATATTTTTAATCTCTTAGCAGTTAATGTTTAATATCATTTCTCAACTCTAACTGTGTTCTGTTTAAAAAGCTTTTTTTTTTCTCTCCTCCCTGGTTTTTATTATTAGCTGTGTGACAATCCCAAATCCCTCGACAACGACATCCGGCCCACTGGCTTGTGTTTTTGCTCTCAGTAAGAACAGAATCCCTTCTGTGAGCCACCTGTGAGCGACGCCCAGTGTGAATTTGCCTTGTACTGATAAAGGTCTTAACAAGGAAATTTCCAAATGTCACCGGAGCAACACTACCTTTCCCACAGGGTCATGCCCAGGTGTCGGATGCACTGTACCAGCAATGGGTCTCAGTGACTATCAGAAACTTTGATACTTCTCAATATTCTCAGAACATTGTTTGCTAGAAACTTCCATGCTTCTAAACATGGCACAACATTAGAATAATTGCATTTATTATAACTGCAAGAAATTGGCATAAGATCACATTGTGTTTCTGGTTTAGAGGCACACAAGTGCTTGTTTCCATAACATAGCCAGCAGGCATATCACCCTGCAACTCACAGCTAGCAACCCACTGAAGCCAAGCAGGTGTGAGCCTGCTCAGTACCTGGATGGGAGACCTCCTGGGAAAAACGAAGGTTTCTGCCAGAAGAGTTGAAAGTGGGGCCAGCAGGTGACGCTCAACCTGTGGTCTATGTGGGTCCTAATGCCACAGTATAGTGACGGGGACACTTTAATGTAAACAGATGCTGTCCTTCGGATGAGATGTAAAACCGAGGTTCTGACTTTCTGTGGTCATTAAAAATCCCAGGGTGTTTCTCAAAAAGAGTAGGGGTGTAACCCCGGCGTCCTGAACAAATTTCCCATTGGCCCTTACCGATCATGGCCTCCTAATAACCCCCATCTATGAATTAACTTCATTACTCTGTTCTCCTCACTAATAGCTGATGTATGTTGAGCGTTCTGACGCACTATGGCTGCTGTTGCATTATCCTGGTGGATGCTGCACATTGTGGTGGTGGAGGAGAGTCCCCATTATCTGTAAAGCTTTAAGTGGAGTGTCCGGAAAAGTGCTATATAAGTGTAAGCAATAATAATAATAATAATAATAATAATAATGCGCCAGGTTTAAACCCCAGCTCTTCCACTAACTCACTGTGTGTTGCCTGAGCAAGTCACTGTATTGCTTTGAGTTCAGTCCTTCCGATAAGGTTTAGAAAGAGTCACTGTGTGTGGAGACTGCATGTTCTACCGGCACCTGTGTGTGTTTTCCCTACACGCTCCTACCATCCAAACACACGGACTGACATATAATCCATCATTCTGCTCCATGCCCTGTGTCTGCTGGGTTAGGCTCTAGTTTGCCAGCATTCTCAACCAGATGGAGAGGCTAAGGGTAATGTTCTTTATACACTGCATATGCTTTAGGAGTAGTTTCTGGTCACAGGGTCTCATATAAATTACAATACATTCAAAATGTTAATGCTTTCATTTAGGTTCACTGCTTCTTTTCATTGCCACTAACATTTAAAAAAAAGTGTGATTGCAAAGGCACAGCTCAAAAAGAAGCTTGAGTGTTTTCATACCCAAATAGAACATGATACTGTAAAAAGTCTGGTATCAATCTACAGCAGGATATGTGCCTTTTTAGTCTGCTTCACATTATTTGCCTTGGAGATTGTGAGATTAACTGGAGATTGTGATCTCTTGTGTTTTGTGTTTTTAACTGTCATACTGTAACTTCAGAAGACAGACTATTGATCAATTAGTCATCTTGTAGTTGCCTGCTGACCCACTATACCTGCTGCAGTGTCTAGCACTCCCTTGTCCGTGTCCATTAACATCCTTATTGTATACTATAGAACCTCTGTAATTTAAATCCACATCTCCTGAATTCAGGCCAGGGGGCTGTGTACGTGCTGAGCTGTATCCTCAAGTCTTAATCATGCCTTAGCTGTGCTGTGGGATTGTATTATGGGAAGAAGGGAACAGCCCGACACTGAACACTTCCAAAACACATCTACCCCATGTTCATCTCTCCTGTGCCAGTGCATGAGTAACAGTCTGCTATTCTGACCTGGATGTAAAAAAAAATAGAAAGAAAAAAAATGTCTTTCCATATGAAAATGAAGAGTAAATTACCTCAAACTCATGCCGCTTCTCATAAACTGGAATGATGAACTTGGAGACTTCGGCTATTAACTCGTATCTCTCTGCTTTCCACAGACCATCCACACAGAGCTCCAGCAGCTCCACCAGGATCTCCTGCAGAGACAGGGCGATTCCACTTTAAAATGAGAGACTGGAAAGACATCTCATGGCAGGCGAATGGAGATGCCCATCCCTGAGTCATCTGCTCAAAATGTGAGGATCACAGGGTAAAATTGCACAAAACCTCTTTCAAACTTCATTCATTTGTGATGGCCTCATATTATAAAATTGTAATTATAAATGTAAGACTTAACTACAGGAACAATGGTAGAACACTGGGTTGCTTAGTAAACTGTGTTTTAGTACCATCTTCAACCATGTGAATTTCAGCTAATAGAATATCAGATTAGATTGGAAATAGAAAGAGTGAATACAAACAGCTTTGCCGTTTCTACACCAATATCAAAAATCAGCTATCTGCCCATCTTATATTTCCAGTCTATGCCACGCTATCCCATCACTCATCTGTCTGATGATTCATGTCTGTTTGACATTTAATGGTTTATTACCAAGAACATTTATTGCCACCGGGGCAGAGCAGTGGCACTGTGCCTAATGACCTGTGCGTGTGTCTGGAAGGTTTCCAGTTCAAATCCCGCGGCCGGCAGAGGAACCTGCTCCAGGGGTGCCATATAAATGGCTGACCCTGTGCTCTGACCCCAAGCTTCTCTCTCCCAGTCTGGGTGCCTGTGTGTCTCATGGAGAGCAAGCTGGGGTATGCGAAAAGACAAATTCCTAATGCAAGAAACTGTATAAGATCTTATTTATTACCAATAGCTTTCCATTACCAACAGAGTCCAACAGCTTAGTAATATATGAGGGGCAGAGGTCTAAAGAGTCATTCATTTCGACACAGTAAAACAAAAGAAGCAGGACTGTTATCAGTACCTCAGAGTAATAGACATCTTGCATTCCAACATCTTCCTTCATGGCAGATTCTTCATCAATATTCAAGGTAATCTTTTTAAATGCAGAGAGTCCACTTGGAAAGGTTTCTGAAAAAAAAAAACATGAGAAATGCTCAGTAAACAAAGTTGAGAGTAGAACAAATATTTTGCTCATGTCAATTTAGAATAGGATGTGGGGAGCTCTAAGGCGCTCATCAAACGGATATACGAGTGTCGCAATATACTGTACTGTACATGTGGGAACTTTGAAACCCACCACTTGATCTTTGAACCCAAAGACCCCACATGTGGTAGGGAGGTTTTTCCAAACCTGGGAAAAATATACTTTTCCACAATAGGTTTATTACATTCTAAAAAGAGAAGAAAGAAAACAACGTTTCGGCCATGGAACCTGAAGAAACGTTGAGTTTTATTTCTTCTCTTTTCAGTATGGAATAAATCTATTACTTGTTCCTTTACAGCCTACGCATGCTGACGCAGCTACCCACCTGAAATACTTCTCAATTACCTGAAAGCTTTAATGTGACAGATATGTATACAGTACTGTCTGAACATTGAATGTTCATTCAATGGCTTTTCCATATAATTGGCACATTATTGGTTTGAAAGATATAAAATGAACAATTACTTTTTGGTGTCCGCCCATATCAGTATGACACAATCCGGGGATGAGTGAGGAAAACACGGGGAAAAAAGCATGCAGGAGTTGGGAATGTAAACAGGGGGCGTGTCCATAGTGCGCTGGTGTTCGGGGGAGGTGTTGCCGAGGCAAACAATCCAGAAAAAACGCTCAGATCCCGAACTCGCTTGGTGCGGAAACCAATGCAGAGCCCGGAACAGAGTGGGCGTCTGGCTTTAAAGGTGGACTGGAAGGAGGCTGGAACAGGGGCAGGTGCACAAAATCAAGTTTGAAGTGAAAGAGCCGGAGTGCCCTTAAGAGGGAGGGACTACAATCGTGATAACAATCTTGGATGCAATTGTTTTATTGCTTCAGGTAAGATATTTGTATGTCAGAAGCACCACTCTCACAACAATACAAAGAGAAATGTGGTACGAATAAGCAATTGGTCAATTTACAGTATGTATTTTTAATGTTAGCTGTTCCCACCATTAAACTTGTTTTAGTATGGCAAGAGTGCTTCGTCATGCAATAACTTTTGCAACTGGTAGTTACCGCATTCCACCAATGACATTTTTTACTGCTGTATCCTGTGTCTTCTATCCCACCTAGTGCTATTTCAGATCTATAATTTCAAAACTTCAGTATAAAAAAACGTCAACAATAAAAGTCATCCTTAGGTTAAGATGCAGCAAAAGTCCATATTTCAGGGGCAGTAAAGATAAGTTTCCAGAGCGAAAACAAATACCATTGATAAATAACCCAAGCTAAATCCGTACTTTTGCATCCCATTGAGAAAACAAACAACTACAGTGAGTCACAGATTTCTCATAAGGGAAAAAAAATCGAGACTTGACAAGATTCAGCATGCATGGTTTGTGCTCTACAACAAGCAAACACCAAGTGTTACGTTTAAATACTTCTTTGACAAAGGACATAGCCAGAGTTTGTAAAGAAGTATATTTAAGAAATGTATTTTCTCCTCTCCTGTTTTCCCCTCTCCAGCTAGAAAAAATAAAAAAATAACATAAAATATTCCTAAACTATCAAAATTACAGTACTACAAAAGAAGTCAGACTTGCCATAAAATGAGCCACACCATTTCACCATTAAAAGCTGACATCTTGGAAGATCACTGTGGTGTAATAGTATAACTTTTGCCCCTTTTCAACATGTATTTTAGTTTTTTCATTAAGTAGTTCACTAAAACCTGTAAACTATCCATCACATGGGAACACATCAAATTTAGGAACCACATGTTGAATACTAATAGCACTATTGCAATCAATGTACATTATATTTTGAAATTGTGAAATATAGAATTTATATCCTCTTAGACAATTAAAGCCAGAAAGTTGACAATGATGTGTTTTCCTCTGTTTTCTATATACCCTAAAATCACAAAAAGATTGTCATAGGATTTAGGATTAGAAATATTTATTGTAAGAAAAACAGATTAAAAGTTTTCACCTAAAATACTCATGTCACATACCCTCACAAGAACTGTTAATAGTTTCTGAGTTATAAAAAAAATTAACTTCAAAAGGCCAATGTTTTGTTACAGTATATTATAAATATGCCTGATTGTAATCTGAAGTTTAAAAACCACCCAAGATGCCTTCAAAAAATGCCTTAAAAAAAAGAACATTAACATTCCTGACTGGACTTCTAGGATAATGCATTTATCCACAATACACATCACTTTTCTGCAAAGTGTTCACTGGGTTTAGGAATGTGTCAGAATCTTTCACTATGACACCCACCAGCTCTTAGCATACAGCATACTGCTAATACCTGTCAAGATGGTGTAAAGACTAACTGCCTGCTCTACTTTGCCATCAGCTGGAGAAGAAACTGAAGAGATGGAGGTCAGGGCATCTTAGGCCAGGGCTGCGAGATGGGATGGCATGGAATTGGCAGTGTTTGGCCTGGTATTATCATTTTGTATGAATGACCCTATAAAATATTTGATAGTAGTGCACAATGTTGACCATGTTTGTACAAGAAGTGCATTTTTTTTAGATGGAGGGCTGAAGGAGTCTGGAACGAGTTATTCAGTCATGTTGTTGGAAACGATGCCCTGCCGTCTTTCAAGAAACTTCTTGTATCAATGAGCTACAAAAACAAATAAGCTAGATGGGTCAAATGGACTGTTCTCATTTACAACTAATCTTAAATTTATTAAGGTCAAACATCTCTATATCACCAAGGCCAGGTGGAGCATTTCTGCGGGCTCATGACAAACAATGGCATTACAGTACTACACAATCTTTTCAAATCATCCGGAGGTAGTGTTAGTAAGTGGCGAAGTTAGTTAACTCTCTTGTTATTATGAAAGGTCTTGTTGACTTAATTAAACATACTTATATTTACACTTAAATTAATTCAGAAACATCAACAACACCTCCCTTCCACAGGTCTAAGTCAGCAAGCTCAAATACTATAGGTATTGTTTAGACACTGTGAAAATGACTCTCCTTAAATATGTTATGAAAACATTCTCTTAATGAGGTGTCAGCACACCACACTGTAACTTTAAAATAGGTCACATTAAGACCATGTTAAAAAATATCCTCTTGATTTGTTTTTGCTTTGCATTATCCAAATCAGGTTCAATGTGTAACATTTACAGTCCCTATATTTCTTGCATTTTTGTGGCCATATTTTTCCTTGTTATAGTGTATTGTGGTTAGAAACATTTGTTTTGCGCAGCTAAACAGATGAAAACAGACTGAAACAAAAAACAATGTTGTTGATGTGTGTAGGTTTGTTTCTCCTGTAAGAAAATGAGCCAATATCTAAAGTTCTCCCTCCCAAATAAGTGTAGAAATTTGAAGTGGGAAATATTTGTGAACCACATTTAATACATTTGATCAAACAAATCACAATTCAGGTTTTCTTCCACATTATGTCGAAAAACAAGTGAATTGTCCTTTCACAGAAAGACATGTTCAAGGAGCAGCTTTTTTCAAGAGGTAGGTTTGGAGATTCTCTTTCAAACCAACATTGCAATCTGACAGGTAGCAGAAATAGTATTCAGACACCATTCCAGCTGCTTCTCTTCTAATGTGCTTCACTCTCACAAGCAGTTACAATGGGAATGGAATGGTAAACATGTTTCCTGATATAGAAAAGAAGAAACATTCCAGACCCTTACTTTTGCGGTGCAAGTACTCCGCCACTAGTGCTGCCACATGGACATAACACATTGCTGCCTGCAAAGAGAGAAGAAACAAGGGTTACACAACAATACGCTTGCGTTATGCCTGTGTATTTGCAACATCGGAAACAATGAAAACAAGATTTGAGAAAGAAAATAAGTGATGGGATGGGGGGGGGTTGAATTTGGGAGCTTTAACTACTAAAAGAAAAACTACTTTTGACACTAGGAATGGCTCATTGTGATATGACACAAACCAGACACGCTTTACACAGGGTTGGGGGAGTATGGAACAAGCTACTCAGCCATTTTAATGGGGGTGCTCTAGCTTTCATTACTGAGTGAAATTCTTGGACATTATCTCTTAAAAACAAAATGAGCTAAATGGGTTGAATGGAATCATCTAATGTGTATTCAGATTTACTTATATTTGATTCTGATTGCAAGTGATTCAGAACCTGAGAATTGCCTAAAAAGCATAGCCAGACTAATGAATAAGACAACAGACTGGAGTTTGTGGCTTTACTGGAAAAGTGATGAAGTTAAAACGGCAACAGGTAGGAGATTTGACACTTGAAGAATAGATCAGGGCTGGACAGAGATCATTCTAAAAGGGATCACAAGAAACAAGAGGCGAATAACAAGGGTGAGAGCAGAAGTGCTCTTGGAATGAGGGAAGAACAAATTGAGACATTTGTGGAATTGTCACAAACGTGACTAGCAAAGCGAAGAGTTCATAAGAGTTCAATTTTAACATACTGAAATCCTAATAAGCATACAAGAAAAACAGCCCAGCAAATGAGTTAGCATACACAAAGTTCAATTTAATTAATCAATGTTTAAAATAATGGTAGTTACAATCATTTGCAGAATATTTGTTCGTAATGCATTTTGCTTGGTTTTCTAAGGTAATGGACCTTTCTTGTTTTTTAATGTTTTCTAAATGTTTAGCGAGCTTGGAAGAATGTATCAAACATGGATACAATTAGAAAAAGCAACAATCTGTTGTGGTTCATGCCCTAATGGTGTTTTATGATTTAAAAAGTAACTCATCAATAAGGAAATCGAAAAAGAAGGAAAATGAAAGGTAAGCAAAAACTAAGAATAAATAAGAAAATGTTGTTCTTCTAAATGATCCTGTTATTCACAACAAAACACATTAAATAATGTGTAGATTGATTATCGGCACCTGTTGCTTAACCAGTGCAAACTATCTCATGACAAAACGGCAACTTCCCTTCCTGCATTCAAAGAATTGTCATTACATCAATAGCTGCATCCTATTTGATAACACAGAAAGATCTTGTGAAACATCTAGATGACATCTTAGAGGGTGTCTTTTGAGATGCCCAGCAGTGAATCTCATCCAGCGTGAGAACGATAGTACTCACAGGAATAGCAGAGAAAGTCAATGGCTGTGATACACTATCACAACTATCACAATGTTTGGGTCTTAGTTGAAATCAGTTTTACTCTTCACACACCTACTGCATGTCCTTGTCACCAAACAAAAGAAAAAGATTCCGAAATATATTGCAGAAGTACATATTTGAAATATGTTGCAATATAAAAGTGCGTGGGAATGTATTTTGAAATTTCAAAGGATCACACTTGGATTTCTATATAGAAAGTAAATGATGTGGGCTTGACGTAACTTGACTTTGATTTGTAATTTAAATGTATTTTAGGATTTTAGGACTCTTGAATGTCTCAGCTTCTTGGGTTATATTATTCAGGGATCACAGATTCAAGCCTAGGTCATGTCGCTAGTCAACTCTGACTATGATTCCCCCGCCGGCACTATACTGTACAATGGATTGTGTGCCGCAGAGGGTAGGGCGTGATCAACTCCAGTGTCCTGGCCAATTTTCACCCTGGCCTTTTGCAAGCATGACCTCGTAATAATCCCCCATCGCTGAACTGCCTTCATCACTCTATTCTCCTTCCTGCTGACAGCTGGTGCCAGAGGCCATATCACCCTGCAGTTCACAACTGGCAACCCCATGAAGCTCAGTAGATGTGAGCCTGGTCAGTACCTGGATAAGAGACCTCCTGGGCAAAACTAAGGTTGCTGCAAGAAGAGGTATTAAAGGGGGCAGTAGGGGGGCACTCACCCTGTGGTCTGTGTGGGTTCTAAAGTCCCAGTGTAGTGACAGGGACACTGCAAAATGGCATCGTCGTTCAGATGAGACATAAAACCGAGGTCCTGGCTCTCTGTGGTCATTTAAAATCCCAGGGTGTTTCTTGAAAAGAGTAAGTGTGTTACCCTGGTGTCCTGGCCAAATTTCCCCCTGGCCTTTACTAATCATGGCCTGTTAATAATCCCCATCTATGAACTGGCTTCATCACTCTGCTCTCCTCCCCACTGATAGCTGATGTGTATTGAGCAGACTGGCGTACTATGGCTGCCGTCGCATCATCCAGGAGTGGCTGCACATTGGTGGTGGTGGAGGGGAGTCCCCATTACCTGTAAAGTGCTTTGAATGGAGTGTCCAGAAATGCACTACAGTGTAAGGGATTATCTATTGTACTAACAGTTGACCAGAACTATCTCAACTCTTACTGAAAGTAGCGCCACCTGCGGCTGCCTACATGCTTGTATGCAATCGATTAAGGGACGCGCCTCTCCTCCATTGGCGTTGAATTCTGTGACGTTTTAAGACAAGCAATGTGGTATGAGCAGTCTACTTATGCTTCCTCTTTCTCCCCCGTGTGACGTCATGAGCCACGAGTTCCTTAGTCATGAGCCAAGAAGTGAGAAACACACATCAGGCTATTCCAAAACAAGGAAGGCATAACAAAAATAATTGGCAATTCTAGATTTTTTACAAAAATATAATTTAACGACATCTTTCCACATACGTAAGTTAATATATTGGTAGAACACTAATGCACTGACAGCTAGATTTACAGTGTTTCTTAATGTTTTATTTCATATGTCAGAAAAAGCAACTTATAAAAACCAGAAAAGAGTAATAATTAGTTCTAAGTGTAAATGTACAAATACAAATGTAATGCAATGACACCCTTATTAGTAAAATAGGGCATGAGACCCTTATTTTCTGTGAGTGTTTTTCTTTTTCTATACCAAGCACGCATAACCTTGATCCAGAGCTTCACAACTGTCACCAACAGTTTTAACACAGCACTGCCTTCAACCTTGTTTTTATTTAGTTTTCTGTGCCATGTACCTGTAGATGAACCGGTTTGTAAGGTCATACTGTCATGTGTCATCTGTCAAATAATGTTAAAACAAATTCAGAGGACTGTGGAATGCATTCATCAGTTTATCTTTCCGACATCCTACTGACCCGCTACAGCTCATGCAAAAGCAACATCAGGAAATAAAGACTGCATCCCACAACCTAATGCATTTACACAGCAGTGCAAACGTTGCACCATGGGAGCTACCTCAGAGAAGTCTCCATTCTTCACATGCACTTTGGCCATGCTCTCCAGCCAGGTTTTCCTGAGCTCAGGGGTGCTGGCATAGGACTTGGCCAGGCTATACTGCAGGTCGACCAGCATCTCTGGGTCCTTCTCATGCTCCTTCATCTGAGCTGTGGCCATCAGCACAGTGCGGATTTTCTTTGTCAGGTCCTTCACTTCGGAAGGGAACACAGTCATCTGTGGAGACACAGCCACAGGAAAGTACTGTAATACTGCAACTGAGCAAAGGATTGTGAACAAAAGGCCTGTCTGTAGACGTATTGTAAGAGACCGGGGGAAGGGGGATCATTCTTCTATAGATGGAGTCCTGTGTGTGCATGTCCAAGGATAACATTCTAAACATGTTCAGATTCTGACATCTGATATTTTTCCTTGGGTGTGTTACAAAACCCCCAGACTGATGAATCAGGCATCACCAGATTGATTCTCTGAAACAATGTAGTGGTATAGTGCTCATGAGGATTGGATACATGTTAAGTGTTTTGACTCTTAGCAGCTGCTCAGCATCTGCTGTGCATGGCTTACGTTTGACCAGAAGGAAAGAACAAAAGAGTGTAAAAAAAACGCATGATGGAACCCATCCAGCCTCATATTAACCACTTGTCTACTACCCCCCAAGAAATCACAAGTAGCCAGCAATCTCTACTTGCTCGCTTTTTAAAAATACTTGTGTAATTGTAGGTTTTTAAGTACATTCATCCATTTTCTAGTCACTTCTTCCAATTCACAGTTGGTGGCGAGCCAAAAAATATCACGGTAAGTAATGGGGTGCAAGGCAGGGTACACCCCAGACGGGATGCCAGCCCATTGTAGGGCAGACACACACTCACACCATGGCCAATTTCCCCAGAAGCCAATTGACCTATTGAACCAGTATGTCTTCTGACTGTGGGAGTAAACCAGAGCACCTGGAGGAAACTTACATGAAAACAGTGAGAACATGCAGCATATGAGGTTTGAACCCAGGGTCCCAGCGCTACGAGGCCACAACGCTAACAACTGCATTACTGTGCTGTCTGGTTTTTATGAACATAATGTGATGTAATTAAAAATTCATTCCGGTTTAGGGATTCTTAACCTGCCCTACATGAAAGGGTAAATCAAGAAAAATGAATTTGTGAACAATTTAACAAGAGTCCCCGACAGGTAGTGAAGATACTGTATTTATGCCACATCCTACATAAAGTTTTGGATGCCCTGGTGTTAGTTTGTCCACATGTACAGAAGCACATGGACCTTGCTGTCATCATTGAAGATCCAGGCTTAGCGTTTCCACCTATGGCTGAAACAAATGAAAATCTAGCAGTTTGGGAACTGGGCTTTAAGGTGCATTGGAGACCTCAATGAGTGATGGAATGCACTGCCAGGTTGCTGCATGACACAGATATAAGAGTGACACTAATTCCAACACCATGTCCATGGGTCACAAAAGTGATGATGATGACAATGCCCTGGGACAGTAATTCACTGTAAAATGTGAAACGCTATGTTCTCCCTGTGCTCACGTGGGTTTCCTCCGGGTGATTTAGTTTCCTGCCCCTGTCCACAGACATACTGATCGGTTAATTGGCTTCTGGGAAAACTGTCCCTTGTGTGTGTGTTTGCATGTTGGCGTCTGTTTGCCTAAGGGCTTGATTTTTAAACCTAGCTTGTGCTACTTATAACTGTACCCTAGGGCAACACATTCAACTACTACGTCCCTGCTGTGTGTTTATTGCTGTCATCCATCTAGCCAGCCATTTTCTAAATGTTTTTTCCCCAATAAGGGATCTCTGGGGTCCCGTACCCTATCTTGGCTACCAACAGATGCATGGTAGGATACACCCTGGATGGGACGCCAGTCCATACACTGACACCAGGCCCAGTTAACGCAGAATCCCAATTAACCTACCGGGATGTTTATGGACTGTGGGAGGAAACTGAAGCACCCGGAGGAAACCCACACGAATACAAGGAGAGCATTCATCCACACAGATAGGACCCCAGGTTCAGAATTGAAGCTAGGGCCTCAACATATTACATTAAAAAAACTGTGAAAAAGAAGTCTGTACCTTCATGGCCTTGTCACTGTTGGCAAAGTTGTTGATGATGGAGAGGGACTCCTGAAAGTGAGATCCCCCTGTGAGAGCCACATCTGCAATGAGTTGGCTGACAGCAATGATGATCTGGAAATGCAAAGACACAAGATACCAAAATAAACATGCAACCCCAAAGTGCCACATACAGATGTCAGCAAGTGATGGTGACTGGTCTAGCATCAGACCTATTGTGCTTTTTGTTGGCAGCATTTATTAGAAAATACAACACTCTGGTAGAAAACAAAAAAAGCATTAACTCCCTCTTTCTTTCCCTGCATTCCTTATTGTACCTTTCTCAAGCCTGGGAGTACTGTTATACTACAACATATTATTGTTTAACTACAACAACACAATGTAAACAAGTGCTGTAAGTCCCACTGAAAAACTCAGTTTAACAGAAGAGACTCCAAAGCCATGGTATAAGAGTTAGGAGAGTTGCTGGAAAACAGCCTATTGGCTGTGCTGATCTAGTACAGTATCTGTCATTCTCGTTGAATGTTTATGCCTGACCTTCCTGTATACACAAAAGTGATAAATACATTAAATGAAACACGACTGTGAAGCGAACCCGTGTTACATATCAGGGTAGATTAACGGACATTCCCAAATTCAAGCAAACACAGAAGCAAAGGAATTCATAAATAAACAATATAACTGCAACCCAGACAGATAATGGGCCTTTTTCACCAAGCAGCATTTCAACTTCTTAATACTAATAGTTATCTCCAAATGTATGTGTTGCTTCAGCTGTATAAGTAATGGGCTTGCCATTGCTCTATTCATATCTCACATCTTTAAATGGTGCTGCATCTAAAGCACTAGTGCAATTAAGTTTGAAGACAGACATTGGCATGGACAGACAATGGGCAATGTGGCACAGACTACAGTTAGACCACGGCTGCCAAGGTGTCATACACACCACAGCCATGGTAAGGATATCAGACAGATCGCAGCTGTGGTGAGGACTGCACAGATGCCAGCCATGAAATCGAACGAACATCAGAAAGGTTACAAGCGATCAGAGGCCATTTGGCCCATCTAGCCTGTTCGGTAGTTAGCAGCTAATTAATCCAAGGATCCAGCCATTTCTGGAATTTCTTGACATGGTAGTTTGTTCTACACCCACAACCCTTTGAGCTGAGAAGACACAGCTCTGCACTGGATACAATGTAACTCCTTTGAAATTGAACACATAGGACTTTCTGTTAATTGGTTTTAATCCAATTGTGACTGCTCAAACTGAACTCGTGTGCATAAAAGACATTCAATATCAGCAATGTCATTGCCCACAAAATGTAAAAAACATAGCTATGAACACGGAATGAAAGTCTAATTCATATGTACTCTCATTTTGCATTTCACATACTCGTTTTGCATTTAATATTCATAGATTTTTGCTACCAGCATGCAAAACCCCCCACTTGTCTACTTGTTTATCATTTTGAATTTCATCTTCTGCATATTTTTTAAACTGGATTTAATTTCTTATCCAAAGGTTGCCAGTTCCCAGTCTCTGTACTGGGACAATGAATAGGAAATTCCAGAAGAGTGTCTCCAATTAGGAGGACAATGGTCCTAGTACAGTTCCCTGTGGTACCCCACTTTGACATCAGCACAGTTTGAGCATTCACCCATTATCTGTGCACACTGATTTCTATTTACATCCCTTTAATACCTAAATGGAAATCTTTCTGTAAATGGAAATAAATCTTTTATGAGAAACTTTATCATAAGCCTTCTGAGAACAAACAGTACTTAAAGATGACGACTGGGGAACTGTATGAATGTGCGTAGGCTGTTAAGGAACAAGTAAAGATCAATTTCACGCTGACAAGTAAATGCAAGAAACAAGATTTCAGCTGCTTAGCCTTCCTTAGCTATGAAGAAGAGAGAAGAAGGTAGCAGGGATATAGAGCACAGGAAAACAATTGACAAAGTAGGTAAAAATGAGCACAAAGCTGAGAAAGGATAACTGGTGGAGAGATGTGAAGAGTTGGAATCTGTAAAAGAAAGGTTCTGAAAAGAAATTAAGTCTATCATTGAGAGAAATAGTTAGTTTAAGGATAATCTTGGCATCAGATGTTTTTTCTGGAGAAGAAATCCAAAAATCCCTGTAAAATGACAGACACATCAGTGACATTTGAATTGCCTACAGAGGTGATTATTTTTAGTTTCACCTCTCATGAACATAATTTCATTGTTTTTTGTTGGAAGGGGGAGTTTCTTCACTGGAAACCCTGTGCTTACCTGCAAGTGTGTCCGAAGGAAGGTTTTCCTTTTGGTGTACTCAAAGTTGTTCCTCATGAGGAAATACAGCAAAGAGGAAGCCTCACTCCGAGTGGAGCTGAGCTTCGATGTACAGCACTTGAGCACCTCATAGCAGAAGGCCGCACACAGGTTCACCCTTCCCTTGAACACTGCAGAGGGAAACTGAGGGCGACACAGAGAGCACTCAAGCCATTTCACTCACTTCACCCCACATTCTACTTTCGTCCCCACAAAGATAAGAAATCAATACAGTAGAGAATAAACAAGATTTAAAATGGAGAAATCACATTCAAACAGGCTGAGGGAGAAAACAACATTATTTCTTCTTTTTGCTGTAATTCTTGATTATTATCTGCTCTGCACTAAACAGATAAATGTCTCCTCCTTTAAAATACACAAAGAGAAATTGATGTCTATGTGTGATAGCTGCGCAGTGTAGGAGGGTGTCTGTTGCTTGGCATATCAGATTACGGCACTAGTGTATTTAACATTTTGGTTTCCCAGAATGTTACTTTGACTTGAAGGTATTAGAATGCAACTTTTGCAAACTTGCATGCAGGTGTTGCTAAATGTTACCTAATGTATAAGTTTGAACAGACTACTCTTTCCAAAAGTTAATTGAAAAAAGAGGGAGACAAATTTATTTGCCATCACATGCTGGAAGTGAACATCTTTATTATTGTCAAAAGCAAATATTTAAAGTAGAGACAGATGTTCAGAATTGGAAAAAAATCACCCATTCCGGGATTCGCATGGCCACCAATATTATCTCCAGACTGCTGAATATTTTCTTTCCCAAACTTTACAATACTTAGTTGAGAGACTAACTTAATATGTGAAACACATACACTCTCCCTGACTGTACAGCATTTCTGCCAAAGGAGGGGCAATTAATCTGCCACCATACTCAGACAACTGTTTCTTATCTGGAACTGTATTACAAAAGAGGAATAATAATTTACAGATGATTTATGAGTCACCTTCTTTACTTAGAGAAATAAAACAAGATGTATTTGATAAATATAATAAATATGAATGTATGATTCTTCTTGGCTGTCAAGTTTGTCAGAGACCTACAAAGACCATTGTCTTTAGTCTGTAACTGAACAGGGCTAAAATGATCATTTTTGCTTGGGTTTTTGCATAAACTGTTGCTGTTCCAGACATGCACTAAAATTCCCCCCAGGACAAAATGACAACGACAAGATAAAGGGTGTCTAGAACAGTTGGTGGAAATAAGACAAGCTTATTTGGCATACTGTATGAGTAAAATGCAGAAATATCTATACAGCATTCAACCGGTTCAGACTTGTTTTTGAAAATTCATTTGTAAATTTAGTTGTAATTGTGAATTGTTAATCTTGTTAATGTACAGTATATGAATGTAACATAATACTGAATGTTATAATTAATAACTATTTGTTATATAGTGGTTTTCTGGACACTGCACTCAAAGCGCTTTACAGGTAATGGGGACCTCTACCACCACCAATGCACAGCACCCACCTGGACAGTGCGACGGCAGCCACAGTGTGACAGTACACTCCCCACACACCAGCAATCAGTGGGTTGGCCAGGAGAGCAGAGTGATGAATCCAATTCATAGATGGGGATTATTAGGAGACCATGATTGGTAAATAAAGGGGAAATTTGGCCAGGACACAGGGGTAACAAACCCTACACTTTTCGAGAAACACCCTGGGATGTTTAATGACCACAGGGAGTCAGGACCTCTGTCTCCCATCTGGGTACTGGCCAGGCTCACACCTGCTTAAAGTGGGTTGCCACTTGTGAGCTGAAGGGTGATATAGCTGCTGGGTGTTAAATATAGTTTGTGAATGTCATAAAATGTTATAAATGTTTGCTCTTTCTTTGTAAATAATGTTATTCCCTGTAAAATATAAAACGTTTATTGAATGTAATTTTTGTGCAGCATGTCTTTGCTCAACAAATTTGGTGAATAAAGGTCATTTAAAAAAAAAATCAGCCCAGTGCCTTCTTTTCTTACCTTGTTGATAAAGGCTCTGAGAGAAGCAAAGACGTGTTTGAGGGCAGCCTCAGACTGACCCGTCTTGAGAAAAGCCAAGTAGATATCGAATACTTTCTTCATTAGTGGGTTGTGGCCATCGCTGTCTAGGAGCTGGGTCTGACAAAGAGCAAAAATGCAATCAAGACTTCGCAATGGCTGACAGTACTCTTCACGAGGTACAGTATGCAATCGAGGATAAAAATAACAAAATAAATATTAAGGATTTTGCACAACATTTGACTACTAAATATTCCGGTGTGGCAATGCTGTGATAGACTCATATTGTTCATTCTCAGGGCTCTGCCCGGCAGAAAAACAAAATTGGGGAAGAAAAACGTGAGTCATGGAGGACTTAGCTATAGCAATACAGAACATCAAGCAGCTCACAACGCATAACAATCCTTTTTGAGAAGTCCTGGGGGAACAGGGGAACAAAAGCGTGCTTAGTAGAGTCAAGAATGCTCATGGGAAACTCTGACTTACAGTAAGTATTGCCAAGTGCAGAGGTCTCCCACTGCAAAAGAATCAACGTCATCTCAGTTCCAACACACTGATGTCGCTGTCTGTAATGGGCTCAGTGTCACCAAGCTCTTTAACATCCGCATTCACCCAGTTTGTGTTTCTTGTTTTTTTTTACGATACGTTACCAACTGTTTCTTTACATGGTACTCTGTATCTAAACTGCTAACTTACCCCAGTCCTTGGCAGTATGTCACAATACGTTAGTATACAGTATGTCTCTTCACTGATTGCAAGATCTTGTCAATGACTTTTAAGGCTGCAGATAATCTGGCTCCATCATACATCTCTGAACTCCATGTTCACACTCCTTCCCGTAGGCTTTGTTCAGTTGGGGCTCATCCTCTGCTCACTGTATCCCGGACTAAATCTGTACTTTCAGAGTCCGTGCCTTTTCTATTGCTGCTCCTTTGTTATGGAATGCCCTTCCTCAGACTCTACCCGAGACAAATTCTTTCACTCTCTTCAAATTCAAACTCAAAACTCACCTTTTTAATAGGGCTGGGAAAAAACAATTCTTACATGCATCATGATTCTCTCTTGTATGATTCTGCATCGATGCACAAAACTCCCTAATCGATCTTTTATTTTTTTTAATATGCGTTTTATTTTTTTTAATAATAACGGAAAGTAAAGGACAAACAGAGCAAATAATAATGGTTTAGTTTTTTGGGCTTAAGACTCAACAAATTGCGTGGTGAAACGTAAAGACGTATAGATGCGCCATGCTTACATTTCAACTAAGCTAAGCTACCCGGTTTGTGAAGATGGACAAACTCTGGCCTGCACCCTCCGCTTGGAAAGCCACCCTATGGGCACATTTTGGATTTTATTAAGTAAAAGGTAAAAATGAACTGGATAAGAGCGCTGCAGTGTGCAAGCTGTGTCATACCAAGATAAAACATTTCGGGAATACAACGAACATGTGAAATCACATTTCACGTTTCCATCCGGAGTTGGAGGAAAAACAGCTTGTTCCTGTTGCTGCCGAACAGAGAACCCTAGAGCAAGTGTCAAAGCTTCCACATAGTTCGGAAAGGGCGAAGCGAATCACCAGGTCTAGAGTAAGTTTTATCGCAAAAGATTTGCGCCCCTACGCTCTTGTTGAAAACAACGGGTTTCGCTTGATGTTGCAAACACTGGAGCTGAGGTACAACATACCGTCTCGGCATCACTTTAGTGAAACAGCAATAGCAGCACTCTACAATGACACTAAAACTCAAGTTTTGGAATCATTGAAGAAAGCAAATACGGTGGCAATAACCTGTGATGCGTGGACGTCCGTTGCAACAGAATCATATATCACTATTACTGCACACTACATCCCCGATGAATGGCAGCTTGTGTCTCGCGTACTCCAGTTACACAGAAAATAAAATCGAGATGCATCGAGAATTGATTTATAATCGCATTGTGGCACCCTGAATCGAAATCAAACCACATTGTGAGGTGCCTAGAGATTCCCACCCCTACTTTTTACCAGGGCCTATGTCTGATTACCCTACATTCTATGTGTGTGCACCCATACAGTATGTTCTTGTTTATTATTTTTTGTTACTTTTGATTGCGATTTTCTGTCTATTTTTATGGAAGGGGGCTTTATAGATACAAGTTATTAATATTTCTTTTTACAATGATGACAGCAGGCACACACGATCCTCCAACTTGCCTACACATCATCTTGGTATCTTGGTGTGATTAGCTCCAAAGTGCCTGAAGCTGTACATCACACACTATAAGCCCGTAGGGCCCTAGAAAATCACAGGCCTATTCCTATTCACTCTCAGCCTATTTCCAAACCTACCCTGTGCTCTGCTGTGTGCCTCCACCTGAGGATTCCTGGTCAGTCAGCTGACAGCATGGACAGGCTCAGAATTACAACACCTGGGCCATAGTCTCACCAGCACCATGTCTGATACCTTTGACAGGAGTGTCTTTATGTTTGATTCCATGATTAGAACCATTATTCTCATAACGGTCGTTTTTTGCTTAATCTTTGTTTATTTAACTGTTCACCTTTGGTATTAATCATACTGTATTTTGCTTTTATTTTTCTTAGGAGGTTATATTGTAACATTAGTTGTGATATATCACTTATTGTACTATGTAAATAGTTGCTGTAGATATATGTGTAGAGTTGTCTTCTATTCTACATACAGTATTCATTTTATCTATGATGTACTGTAGCAGTATTATGAATCTACATTACCATGTTTTCTTAAAGAAGCTCACTCATTGAAAAAATAGTCCTCATTATGACAGATGGACCTACCTGATTGACTTCAGATACTTTTTGATTTTGGATATTTGTGAAGAGGAAATAATATGACACTATGTGCAAGTGCAAAAAGCAGTGCTTAAACTTCAATTTTTGTGTATTTTTTGCCAGTGCATACTTAAAACTCAACCTATCAAAAGACCGCAAGGCCACTTGAGATCTTTAAAACAAAAGCTTTAAATTTCTTAAGCTCTAGAAGAATGACTTGCAGAAAAACAAAAACATTGCATCATATCCAACAAACAGTATTCTGCATATACAGAATAAAGAAGAGCAATAAGAAACTAGATTGATCTTAAGCTTCTGTGTGACTACTACAGATGTTTTAACTTTAAGTTTACTATTTTGTGAAATGTATCGAGGCAAGTCAATTATACAATATGTGGGTTAATATTATCAATATGACAAATATGGATTAGACAGCTAAAAAATTGGGTAAAAAATTAGACAGCATTTTTTACCCATTAACACAAATAGCTGAACCATATTGAGGGTCTTTATTGCAGGTACATAAATGTCACTGGACCTATTAGATTAGCACAACATTCTGTTTAATGGTGTACCCTTAACTTTGCTGCACAAGGTGTCCTGTTGGTGGCAGAAATCACTTAGCAATGCTCAAGCCTTAACGTTTCAGCAGTGTGATCAGGTTTCATCCTGACACCCACCCTCTGCTACTGAACACTGCTTCCTGTTAATGTTAATGTACTGGAAAACCAATATTTCTTCTATAAAATAAACAATTGAAATAGCAACCCTACCACAGCTGGAAGTAACCAAGAGACTGAGCCAGCTGAAATGTGATAACCCGCAGGTTCTAAGCTATTAGCAAGATTTTGTACAATGTGAAGTATTTTATATGCATTTGGAAATCCAAGCTCAAATGCAGTATTCAGTTATCTTATGCTTCTATGTACAGAATTCTGTATGTCTCAGAGTTTAGTGTCCATTAAAAGTGATTATTATTATCAGTAACTGGGTGTGGGGTATTTTGTTTCTAATTCTTTTTGAGGAGTTGATTTCATTAATGAAGAAATTATTTGCCAAAAAAATAATAAGACACTTGGACTTGAGGATGAGGACACCACAACCAATGTCCACCACCTACGTGGATGATGGGACGGCAGCCATAGTTTGCATAGTATGTTCACCACACACCAGCTAACAGTGGGGAGGATGGAGGAGAATAGAGTGATGAAGCCAATTCATAGATGGGGATTATAAGGAGGCCATAACTCGTAAAGGCCAGGGGGAAATTTGGCCAGGACACCAGGACAACCATTCTCTTTTAGAGAAATTCCATGGAATTTTTAATGAGCACTGAGAGTCAAAACCTCGATTTTACATCTCACCTAAAGTACGGCGTCTTTTTACAGTATGGTGTCCCCATCACTATACTGATGCATAATGACCCACACAGACCACAGGAAGAGCACCCCCTACTGGCCCCACTAACACCTCTTCCAGCAGCAACGTAAGCTTTCCCAGGAGGCCTTCCATCCAGGTAATGGCCAGGCCAGGATGTCAGTTGCAGAGTGATATGCAGTAGCTGATGTTACGGAATATTAATGAGGACCCTATGCAGAATAATCAGGACAAACTCCAGAGGCGTAGTCGATTAAACAGTCCGAGGTTCGAAAGCCAAAGGGATACGAAAGTACAAAATCAGAAGTGGAACCGTAAGCTGTGAGGAAGTCGAGAGTCTAAGCCAGAACAATAGTCAAAGTATCAAAACAAAACCAGGAGACGTAGCCGGAAAACAAATCAGGGTCAGGAAGCCAAAAACCAAGATGTAACTAATCGCAGGAAGACTGGGGTAGCTCTAGCCAGGAAAACCTAATACTGAGCACAGGTGAGAGTGTGAAGCAGCATTAAATAGGCTGGGGAAAAAGGCTAATTGGAAACCGTGCTGGAATGCGAGGTGGAATGGCGAGTCCTCCGGAAGCGTGGTGTAACAGCTAATGGAGACTGATGCAGGGTGGGATCTTCCATCCAGGTCTAGCTGACTAAAGATTTGTCAGCTAGTCACAAACCAACCACTCCTGGGACACATCAGACATGCAGGTTTGCAGTGTGTGGAAGAGCCCCCTTTTATTGGGTAGTGTGGCCAGTGGGTTTCCACATAAGCTGTAATCTCCAATGGGAACATCCCACTGCTGCCACCAGATGAGGAAGAACACCCTTTTATTGGGTTGCATGGTCAAGGGGTTTCCACATGAACCGTATCCTTATCTTTCCATTACCCGTAACCGTCTCTTCCCAGATAGCAGTGGCAATAACCTCTCTCTTGATCAATTCCGGTTGGCCAGGTGTGCTCATTAACCATCTTCTTACTTAACCGGCGACCCGACCCAGAAAATGACGAGGCTGCTATCAATGTTAACCCGCTATGCTCACTGCTTCATAACCTTGAGGGTTTGTGGAAAGGCTGTAGAAAAGACAGCCTTTACTGCCTCAGGAACCGCTTATAAAGGGAGCTGAAGTCACCAGGTGCAGCCAATTCCATGATTTTCCTGGGAGAATCCAAAGAATTTGGCTCTCTGGAATAAAAATGACTCTGCCCCTTGATGACTCACCCGGGCTTCCAACCGCAGCTTTGCTACACAGTGATGAAAGTGAGAGTCAGGGTTCTCCTCCAACTCAATATCCAGTGTAAAACAATGCATTTCATGCAGCATGTCAGACTGATTCAAACATTTAATTCCCGGCCTTAAAGGAATACAGTACCATGCCCAGGCTGACTAAAGGAATACATCCTTAATGTTGCACAGAGGAGACTGTGAGGGGACATGACACAACTGTTTGATAAGTTAAGATAAAGGATGATATAAGGACTTGAGGAGAAACAGGGATTCTGGAACATAAACCTAAAACCAACAAAACCTCTATATAAAAAACGTCATGGGGTTATGGAACAAATACCCAACAATGTTGTCACCAATTTCTCAGGATCATTCAGAAACCATGGACAGAGATCCCTGGAAAAAAAAAGCTGCTAACAATAAAATGAGCAAGAGGAGCAACATAGCCTTCTCTTTTGCGACACTTTTTGAGTTCTTATGAAAGTGAGCAGTCGAAGCAGACCACACACACAGTGTACCTATTCTCTTTGTGAGCAGTAGGGGCAGCAGCAGAAAACCTACTTGAAGAACCAGAAGGAGAACCAAATCGGATGAGCATAAAATAAAAAAAAAACTGGCAATACTGTTATTTATCTATAAAAGAGAGCAACAATTCCTTTCCCATTTCAGCCTCCCAGGAACTGGGTTACTTGCCAACGTCTTTCATAATCTATACTAGCATGTGTTAGCAATGGTAGGATTGCTCTGAGAAATGGTTAGATAAAAGAGTGTTACCAGTACAACTGACCTTAAAGCTCTGAGTGAACAGGGAGATGACATCCAACACTGTGAGGCACACCTCTGTGGCAATGTTGCCTTCCAGCAAAGACTGATGGCTGGGATCTGCGTCAGATGTTCCAACACCTTAGAGAAGGCAGATAGTTACAGTATAACCCCTGCAAACCTCCCTTCAGAGATGCCACTGCAGCCACAGCATGGGGGGGTGGAATGAGACAACAATGAACCGGAATGCCAGCATATCAAATGGAACCACTTACATTATCTACTCTGTTTTTTTAAACATTTATGAACGACAAAGCACGAGACATAACCGAGGAACAAAGCAATGCAGAATATTGTGAATACTGTGTAAGAATCCTGGCATGTACCGAGTGATCTTAATTCTGTTTATAAATTCTCTTCCGTTGCTACATAACTATTCCATTACAAAAAGCTTCTGAATTGGCCATTTAAAACCAAATGAGAATAAATGTGTTTTTTTTAAAAAAGCATTAGTTAATGGCACAGAGCACTTGGAAATCCACTCATTTAGAAGAAATGTCACTAAATTAATTATCTTAATGAATGAGCACTTGCTGTGGAGCTACAATGCCAATAAAATAACTTTTGTTTTTAAAATATATACAGTAGCTAAATTTTTTATGGATCCCACAGAGAGTGTAAGAACTATGTGATATACACAGCTATGTGTATCCACAGGCATGTTCTGTGCAGAATCCATGTTAATGCTGTCCTCTGAGAATTTACCGTCAGTGCTCTTTTAAATGAGATCCACACAACCGTTTAGTTTTGTGGCAAGCAGCAGTAACTCAGCATGCACAGCACATCCAGCGGAGGGAGCTAATGTGATCTTGTCAAAAAACACAAGTGTTACCAGAGTGCCTATGGAGATGCTGTGGAACATACCAGGGTTCAAAGTGAAGGAGATGTCCATTGTGCTGAGCTGCTGCAACCTGGTCTGTATCAGCCCCGGTCTGCTACGCATGGCAGGCATGGTCTGGGACTTCCTTTCTGGGGCAAAGTGCTTAGAAACCCAGGCCTCCTGGCTCCTGGAAGAGTATACAGAGGGGAGGAGCCACTGTCAGAGCCTTGTAATTGACTCCTCTGGGTGAACTGCAATTTATATGAACTACCAGTATGCCTGGCCTTTTTTATCGTTTCAGTCAATGGCCCCGGAATGTGATTAAATATTCCAGGATGTTGTCTGTCAGAAGTAAAATGTATTGGGACGGCACAGCAAGTTCTGACAAAGATAGCAGCCCTGGTCTGAACCACATTCCCCAAGGAGCTGTGGGGAATGAGCTGCTGCCCTCAGTCACCTGAGCACTTGCTGGTAGACAACTGGTCAGGTGACAATATAAAAAAACAAGAAACCAACAGTCGGTTTTAATCTGCTGTCTGGAAGCAGAGAGCAGATCCACTGGATACAAATTCACCAGAGGGAAGAAGAATGTGTAGGAAGTGACCGACCTAGAGACTGGGGGATCGTGGAAACAAGAATTCTGGAGAGGTCTCAGAAAAACTTCATACTGTTTGGAAAGGTTTTTTAGGACAGTCTCAGAGAATTGTTTTGAAACCAGGAAGCAGCTTATCTGCCTGGTTTTGGCTAAAAAGGGATTAAAGAAATACAGTAAGTCAGTAGCTCAAAGAGTTGCTACATTTTATTTTGGCTGTGGTCGTAGTTTTTTTCTTCCCCGCACTGTAAACAAACGGCACTGGTTTGTATCTTATGGCAGCACTTGTGCGTTCGTATATGGGCCCTTTTACTTAACAGATCATGTTACGGCGCCTCCCAACCCGCAGTGTGATGATGTACAAAATACAAAAGATCAAGTCCGTGTTTTGCATGTTAAGTTCTTTACCTGAAGAATTGATTTACATACAGTATAATACTAGGACAAATATTAAGGAATGAGAATTCACAAGCTATTCATTATAAAAAGAACTGGGAGCTCTCTTTATAGTGTCTAACTGCCAGGCAAATTTAGCAGTAACACAGATTTGCAAGTTTTTTCAGAATTCATGAAACAGCATGTATTTATAAGAAATTTCACATGCTGCTTGTTAATCCTTTGAACAGAAATTACTCATGATGTGCCTCATGTTCTAGTTTTAATCAGAAACTATTATCAGTTTTGACAGCTATACAAGATAAGATCCCTCATTTGTGTGTCAAAAGAATTTCGAGAAGAGCCCATATAGCACCCACGTTTCCAAGTGAACACATACTGTACAGTAAGGACAGAAACAAGTGAAATTCCTTCCTTTCCTTTGTGGTATAAAATAATGATTACTACATACTAAATTCCACAGACATGCATGTCTGTCACCGGATAAATTATTAGGTCTTGGGAAAAAGGATCCCTAGATGTACTGTAATCAAATTGTGTAATAATAAAACAATTAAATTTGCCTCTTTTACAAGCAGGCTGACAAACTGCCAAATTTTGCAATGTAGAGATGACCTACACAATTTTCAAAAAATGAGAAATTAACATTTTTTGTTGTTGTATAGCTTTAGTGATAGTGATCAGTATTTAATGTTTTCCTTTTAGCTATACAGTACATCAACAGTGGTCTATAGCTGAAAGCTAGCTGCCATTGCAGTAGTTTGTTTAAGCAACTTTTGTATTGCAATCAAGATAAAGGCAGAGCCTGTGCAATAGTATTCCAGGAAAGTTAAGAAGGTCTCAGAAACAGGAAGTGTAAACATGACTTCTATAGAGTGGTTTGTAACTAAATGCTTTTTTAATCAATCAAGATAATACACAGTGGGAAACCGCATACAAAGTCTGGGATTTCATCCAGGTCGTTAATTGCTGGAGAAAATTGGTGACTCACACAACTAAATGTACTGTATTGTAAAAACAGCATGTACTTTAACCAAAAGAGAAAACTGCATGAAATGACACTAATAATTCATGAACTGACAATAAAACAGAAAACCTTTTTTATAAAGTTTAACAGTAAACAGGAAGGGGTGTCAGTTACAGTTCTTTCATTCAGGTGTTCCCTAATTCCTTGAGTCTAAATGCAGCTGACTTCTTTGGATCACATTTTTTCTGCAGGGGAGTATACAAACAATAAAGTTCACTGAGTAATTCAAATTTGGATGGAGTACTGAAAGTAATGTGTACTTCCACATGCTGAATTTCACATGAGTATTCTCCTCTGATATAAAGGTGGGCTGAAATATCAAACCAAAACAGTGTGCAATATCTACCCAGCATGTGCTCTTTGCTATAGAAATATTATGGAACACTGTGTTCCATAGGAGTTATCCATCCTTTAAAAAGTACTGTGAATGACCCAATCTCTTACGATTCCAGAGGATTGTCAACCAGTGAACAAATTTCCTCCCTCTTTGTCTTGCGCATTGCTATCAACACAAAGGCTGATGTAAATATTCTCACATCAGATCACTGAAGGAAACAGCAGACCTGGCTAATGTGTCAGTTCAGACAGCCTCAATTGAAACAATACTGTGACGCATAATTGCCTCTAGGGATGAACTGCTATCCTCTAATATTCCCCAATGGGAAGTTAGGAAAGTGTATGAGTCTGAGCACAATTTCTTTGATGTACAGTATGATGTCCTAAGAAACAGAAGTGCTCAAGCTACCTGACCACACTGTTTAAAAAACCTGGCACTTTAAGTTAAACTGGTACTGTATGGACCCACTTTAAAAAAAACACCCTTTTAATATTACCTGCTAATGTTCCTTCTTCCAATGTATCGGAACTGCACGAGGCATATTCTAAAAGAGATTGGAAAAAAACAGCAATTAATCATTTTGAAACCGGTGTTCTTAAGAAATACTGTTAAGATACCACCGATTACTTGAAGCTTTTGACTTGGTAAACTCACAATACAAATGTAATGAAATGTATAATAAAAAACTATATTTACAGTACTTCATTTCTGGCTAACTTCACTATGTTATTCATCTTACTGTATACTGAAGACAGGGTTTTAGGGGGAAACACATTCCAAAAGAATTCTGATGTAGTAAACACGGAAAACAAAATTATAAATAATATACCATTTTAAGTCATACATTTAGTTTTTATCCCTGTTGTAGACAATAGCATAACATAATAAAGTCATGATATTTGCAAGAATACATTTGCCTCAAAATTGTTTTCATTTAAAATTGTAGACATCTTTGGTTTTGTCAGCAGACTTAATTTGCATTTCTTTTATCTGCAACTATTCAGTACTAGTACTAATCAGTAAGCTGCTGAGTAATGAAATGAGAAATGAGGTGGTTGTCCTCAACTTACAGTACATTTACATTCATTTGAATGATACATTTATCCAAAATATCTTACATTTGCACCCATTGGATATTTTATGCAAACAATTCAGTTGAAGTACTTTGCTCAAGAGTACAACAGGCTCTAAGGTACTGTAGGATTTCAACCCACAACCTTCCAAGTCCTCTAAACATCAAGACAATCCAGTTCTTCAGTAAGTAGGGCTTTAAGCAAGTCTTTACAGTTAACTGGATGTTTCTCCCTGCTCTTAATATTCTGGTGCTTTAAAGAGATCTGGAAAATCTACAGTTATACCTGCTCTCTAGGACCAGGATTGCAGACCTCTGTCTTAGGCTGACCATCAGTCAGCTTTGAAGGATCTATAATGAGCTGCCTAATTTCCCATGGAATATCTGAAGAGATCAGAATTGTGAACACATACAAGAAACCTGAAATTACCCATAGCATGCCTTCCTGTTTACCACATGTTTCTCTAATGAAAGTTCTATCATCTTAAATCCTCATCCTTTAAAAAGGAAGATGGAATCCATCCTGTATAGCTTTTATTATTAAAGTGTTGAAGCATCTGGTAAGCACTTAGTAAAAAAAAACAAAACCATGCACAGTGTGAAGCAATTGTATTGGCAAAGATCCGGGTGCATTTCCAGTTAGTTATTTATGGTAGTACTCCTGATTTTTTAAGAAATTTAGAACTGCCAATATTTTTTTTTTCGCCACACCCAACCAACTTGGCTAGTAGCAAGCCTGCCACAGAAAACAGCACTTTTGAGTCACTTTTTTCACACTGTGACCACAAAATGCTAACAGCAGTGTGAGCAGTGGAGGATAATGCTGCAAGCTCACAGGTGCCCAGCAGGGGTCAGTGTTGTGTGGCAAGTTAAAGAGACCTTGTTGCACGTCACCCCATCCAAGCCACTTAAATTTATGATTAAGTGTACTTAATACAATTATCGGAAAATATCATGTTGTAATGGTTGTTGAAAAATTGGAACAATGTTGGCTTGATTGACAATTTGTTTGAATTTCTGGTAATAAAACACAGTATAAAAATTTGAAGCACATATTTTACATACTGTATACTTTACACTGTATACCATGCTGTAAACACCTCAATTTCAGAGCAAAATTCACAAACAGTACATTTAACAAAACAAAGATGAAAAGAAAGATTGTGCTACCTGCAGAGGACAATATTTTTTTAAAAATTACTGTTATAGACTAATTAAAGCCACATTAATTGTCAATATCACTTCAGGCAAAAGAAGTGGGATAACGTTGGATGAATGATTGTAGCAGTTGTGTTTTGTAATGTCCTTTTTAGAATGACATGAGCTTTTAAATGTAATTATCAACCCCTAAACAAATTAGATAAGCATGGTAAAATCAGCAATATTGATTAAACACCCAGCTGTGCATTAGGCATACCAGAAAATGTGTGATTTGTGGATGAAAGAAAAATTACATTAAAATCTTTGCAAACTGAAGAGCAGACATTTTAAAGTGTGATTTCTATCATTTAAATTATCAAATGGTTTTTTAAAAGAACACCTCAGGAATATTTTTTTAACCAAAGTCAACAGCCTGCAGTTACTGTATTTCCACATATATACTTTACATTTTTATATTAATAAAACAAAAATAATTTGTTACAGAAAAGGAATGGACTTTTCAAATATACGGCTGATGTTGTACCGTATTACACAAAGGGATTAAGCAGGTGAAGCTGTTTAAAAGATGATTTGTCAGCCTGATTGAGGGAAAAAAAAGTCACCAACATAAAAACTTTTGTAACCAGTTTGCTTGCATTTTGGTTTAGTCAAAAACACAAATTTGTGCCACTTTAATTAGATTACAGGTGTCTAAAAACAAATGTCTGCTTTGGTATTTAAATGTATTTTCACTGTGGTTCTGCCAGTATAGTACCTGTATTACTGACAGAATGAGAATCTAAACAGGTAAAGCATTAATAAAATCATATACATGTTTACTGGATAGGGAAGCGGGATAGCGCATACTGCCCAGATGCGTATGTCAATATTGAAGCGAGTCTGCTGTATGGAATGTAACGCATACAGCCTCCATTGCTTGTGAGAGCCGGCTTACCAGCGCGGTGATGTCACCACCCTTCCCTGTTAAATTAGTGACTGCAGCCGCCGGGCTGATGGGAGATTTCCTTTTGGCTCAAGTGGCTGGGTCCCTGTTGAGTGACATCGGAGGCCCGGGTTCGAGACCCTGATGGAGTGAGACCAAACTGATGTGGCAGCTGCGAAGGTGCCCATGTGAACCCCGTAGTGTTACAGTAATATGCTGGGAGCGTAGACTGCCCAAACACGTATGAGGAAATTAGAGGATTGACTTTATCTGTGCAGGCAGTTTCCGAATAAAACGGCCTGTTTTATTGGTCGACCTGGAGAAGTTAGACCTTAGCTAGCATAAGTTGCAGCGAAACAACACTTGAAACAACAAACCCCGGAAGAGGTTGGTGTCAGTAGCAATCCTGGAAGGGATAGGCAAATATTACAGGCAGCCTGTTGTGAGAGCAAGAGAGAATGGCTGTCTGCAGGGGAAGTCTGTAACATTTCGGAAATGCACTACAGTAGCAGCCTTGGTGATTTCTGTGTCTGCTTGTACATAAACAAGAAGGCGGTTGGAGTGTGACTGTCCAAACGTTATTTAACATGTTTCAGGGCACACTCAAGACCTGTGGGCAACTGGGTGGAAGCTGGATTTACATTTTCAAATTGGTCCACTTCTGCAAGTGGATGTGTGTTCATGTGAAGTGGCTGAAATCCCCCAAACAAACGCCTGCCGGCTACTGTCACAGTATGTATAACGTACGTGGATGGAAAATGGCTGATTTATAAAACATCATTACACTACCAAAGTATTTTCTTTCAATAATATGGGAAATATGAAGTTTTTTATTTAATTCCTTATTGTGATAGATCAAGTTTGAACTATCTTAATCTAGTCCTTCACTAACAGAAGGGAACACCCCAGTATTAGAGGAAGGCTGCACTGAGAGGGATGATTTCTGAGAATGGCAGCAGGACATTATGTAGGTGTCTCAGAGCAAACCATCGTCTTGCAATGGCTACTGTTCTTATTTCCTATAACCTGTAATAGGACAGTGTTCAGACTGTGTTACACAATGTAATACACTTTAAACAGTGATCTTCCATCCAGTTACCGTAAATCAATTTAAAAACTTTCTCATTTTTTTTAATTTTCCCACTGCCTGTATCTGGGATCTGACCCTGTGATATCAGAGTTTGGAACGCTAGACCCAGGGAAGCTCAGCTACTTCACAGAATCCCAAC